TTCAGTACAACATTCAGACAGAAACCTTTGCAGCATAAATGTCCCAACGCTTCTCCAATGTTCTACAAAATGAGCAGGAACCCACGTCTTAGCCCCGTGCCTCCTGTTGCTGGCAGGCGTCTCCGGTACCGGTTATCAAATGGCTGAAGGACGGTCATCCCGTCGGCAAGCATGTGAACGTGAGCAACACAGACACATCTTCACAGCTGATGATCCCCACGGCAGAGCGCCACGACACCGGGATCTACACAATCATCGTCAGGAACCTTGTTGGTCAGGAGACCACCAGTGTGGAGATAAGAGTCACAGGTAAAGGAGAAAAAAAAGACTAAAGATTTCAGCTAATTCATGAGAGACAAAAGTTGTATTCATCAAAGAGAGCCACACAAAGAATTTCCTCTCTGTTCCTAGATGAGCCCAAGCCTCCGGGCCCTGTGGAGCTGGAGGAGAACGTGTCGGGGACAGTGACGGTGTCCTGGACAGCCTCTCCGGACGAGAAGAAAGACGACAGGCTGCACTACGTGATCACCAAGCGAGACTCCGTTAAGCGCTCTTGGCAAACTGTGGCAGACCATCTCTTCAATAACAAGTTCACTCTCATCAACATCATGCCTGGGAGGCAGTACACGTTCCGGGTCTATACCAGGAACGACATGGGGCTTTCCAAGCCTTCTGAGTCCGCAGTCTGGGAAGTGAAGAGAATAAAAGGCAGGTTTAACAAAAGTGGTACACAATTGTAAATAAGAGTATAAAATGCAACCTTTTCTGCTTTAAGTCAAACCATGACAAGGTGTCGCATGGTTTCTCAAACGTGTGATCAAACTGATCTGACACAATAGTCGTTGGTTGCAACCTCAGTAAAGTTTAAAGAACATTAACCCAGGTCTAAATAAATGTAGATACGTATAGAACTGCAATCAGTAAGTCAATCCGTCAAGTTCCACAGTCAAAACTAATACATTTCAGTAGTTATTAAGCCTGAAAGCCAAAAATTAACATGTCAGGACTTGAGGTTTTTCTTCGTTGTACGCAGCAATTATTGTCTTTTGACGTCAAGCGATTAGAAAAGAAATCACAGGCCTCCATGGGAAGAAATGAATAATCAAATACATGAATAATTGTACTTAAATACACGCATGAAATGAATCATGAAGCAATCATGAAAAATGAACATTAACTGGCTTTTATATCTCTTCTCTTGTATCCCTCCAGAAAAACTTTCTTTGAAGCTTCCTGCCACTAAAACCTGCAGCTTTGAGACGCCTCCCTCATTTACAGTTCCGCTAAAAACGCACAAGAGCCCCGAGAGCTACGAGTGCTACATGAGCTGTGCCGTGACCGGAAACCCAAAACCACATGTCACCTGGTACAGAAATAACGTCAGTCTCAACACCAACACCAACTACTACATCACCAACACGTGCGGCGTCTGCTCCATGGTGATTCTCACCGTCGGCCCGAAGGACAGCGGCGAGTACACGGTCGTTGCAGAGAACCCTCTGGGCAGAATGCAGTGTTCAACTAAACTCGCAGTCGAAGGTAAAAGCTCACTGGAATATTTTTGCTACGTCTTAAACTCTATTCCCCTCTGGCGACATGTTTGAGTGATGACTCTCTCTCCATCCTTCGGATTAGGATAACGCGGTGGGCCTGAACTCCCGACGATGCCGCGGTCCATTAAAGATGAATGGGAAGGAAAAGATTTGCCAGTTTTGAAACCTGATTTTTGTGAATTTCGCTTTTTGTGAATTTTGTTATTACTGGGTTTCAATAAACTGGGGAGAAGAAAATACAAAATAAAGTGAAAGAAAGCTCTTTGGAACGGGACATTCAAGATGAAAAAAGAACAGTGATTAGATGCTGACCTTGCACCAAACCTCGTGTTATGAAAAGCACACAAAATATCAGCTGGGTTCCACATGTTTTAGTGTTTGCGCATGCCTCCGTTTAAATTATTAATAATTATCCAACAACTGTAAATAAAGCCTCCCTGTTCAACACTGAACCGTGTTCCTTGTCAATCTTTAACCTAAATGTAATCCTGTGTGTCACATTTACGTTCAGAGACACTTGAGCTGGTCTGAGAGGCTTTAGCTGGAGGCCTGGAGGTAAATGATGACGCCAACATGCTCTCAGTCCGTGTCGGCCTCCTTCACCGGTATCCTCCTTAGTCTTGAGAAAGAAGTCAGACGTAAACCGTAAGACAGTTTTTACCAACGTTCGAAAAGTAAATGATTCTGTTGTACTCAATAAAACAAAAGCATGTACGACTTTATCCACATCGGCAAGTAAAGGCTCTGCCGATCCCCATATAACGGTCGATATGCAAAAAGAGACTGAAAGGAAAGGTTCAGGAAATGAAGTGAAGACGTCCAAGGAGGAGGGCGGGACAAAGAGTGAATGTATATCAAGGAAAGTCAGAAGTACATATAAAATAACACCAAATAAATCAATGGGATGTTTTTACTCGCTTAGTTTGGCTTCTTAGTTTAGTGCTTATTTATTTCATATGTACTGAAGAAGTGAAGGAAAGGCTGTTACCAATAGATTTACAGAAACATTTCCTGAGTGCATGTATTCTCCTGAGTATGCGTGGATTTCAATTTTATTTAACAATTAAGAAAACGTTGCTGAAAGAAAAAGCAATTCACGCTGTGACAAGAACCGCTTGATATCCTGTACAAATTTGACTAAAGAGCCAGGAAATGAGTGAAGGCACACAGTGTTATTTTTTTGTACGACTATTAACTGGTCCAGTGGGGCAAGTAAAATGCTCATGCAACATTCTGGAAAACAACCAATAGTTATAATATATAATATATATATATATATATATATATATATATATATATATATATATATATATATATATATATATATATATATATCACCTGGGCGCTGTGAATGCTTTTACCAAATACCACGGTAAAACATTTAATTGTGGCTTAGAGTGTTGCATAAAGAAACTAAAATGTCAAAACCATGAAGGTATTCCAACCTAACATCTTTGAAATAGTTCTGTCTGGCACAAAGTGTCAGACCAACAGACCTTCATCTGCGTGGTTCAGAACAAATTAACACAATAAATGTGTCCTGGTCACACATCCTGTTATCCAAAATGTCGATGTCTCTGCGTATGGTATGTTTGGCCAACAATCACCTATTCTTCACATTGCAACACCAAGTGCTTGCCTCAAAAAATATTTGTATGTATTTTTAACATATAAGATCCCAATCCCAATCATTTTGGGCTAAGCTTATCCAGTATTTCACCATTAAGTAACTTCAATCCTATTTAGCTCACCACAAATGCTTGTCAAAGAGTGAGATATAGATACTTGTTTCTCTGCCTTTTGTGCGCTGCATCAGCAGCCACCTGTCGCATGGCTTCAAATGACTCTTTGACTGCCTGCATGTGTTTGCAATGTTTTTAGAGCATATTGCACGTCTATTATGGAAAGTCATAAAAGACACAAATGTCAAGTGCATGACTAACCCGGCGAACAACTGTTCATCTTCCTGTGTTAAGTCTTGGGACACAACAAAATGACCATTAGCCACACGGCATCCTGTTATTTTCCATGCAATAACTGGCCAACACACATCAACAACAAACAACACAGCGCTGTGCTTCGTGATGTCATTTCTTTTGCACAGTAGAATTCTCAGCACCTGACCTTGTGCAATAAATGCCTTCAAGCACATCAAGCCTCTTATATCAGCCGCCGGAGAAAAGTCGCAGTTCCCGTGCCACACATCCGCTTTAACTACACTGCTTGAAATATCTACGCACACAAAATCCTGCTCAAACAGAGCACAGCTTTGCTGTTACTAGGACCACAATAACCGTGTTGTGGTTTAAAGAATCTTAACAACTTCTCACATGTAAGTCAATACCCTCAAGGTTATTAGTGGGTATTTCAGATATAAAGTAGTAGTCGAAAAGCCTTTTTCAACAAAACTTTTTCTTGAGATGGAGCTCTGATTCAAGGAAGCCAAAATGATCAGTGCACAATTGCATCATTTTTATTCAGATTATTGAGTAGATAGAGTAGAGTGATAGATTATTGCAGATAATTGCAGCTCTATGGTTAGGAAACCTACCCAAAAATGTAAATATGATAATAATACTGTCACAGTAAACATAAAACAATGCACATGCATGTATTATGAGACAGAGGAGTACCTCTAGGTGCATTGGAGGAATCCGGTGGGATGAAGATGAAAAATGAGAAGAGCCTTCTGTGTGCTCCTTCGTGGCTGAAGTCAACATGCTGAATTAATTAAAAAAGTCGCTGACACAGTCAGACTAATGGCGCTGTGGGGCACACAGCGGGGCAACAGCACGGTTCAAAACATCCAACAGTACAGCAATACTTTGAGCACAGGAATGTGTACTTGCCCACATAGAATGTTGCAATATAAAATATGGGAAATAAAAAAATGGGAAAAGTGTGTGTCTGAGTTTATTTATTAAAATTCAATTAGTGAGGGCATCGGGACACCAGCCAACAGGATACCAGCCAACACTAAACAGTCCATTCAAAAGATTAATTGGTTTGATTCCATTTTTTGAAGGAAGTATGCATCATTTAAAGCACTCCTGAGGAATGGTACACAGACTTGCTGTACTTTTTAACATACTTCTGTCCTCAGACCACTCAAAGTGCTTTAACACTACATGTCATCCTCCACACTCGCTTATATACACCAGCATGCATGGTGCCATCTGCCCGTCAGGACTTTCCAACCACTCACACCCGTTTATGTGCAGCCACCTAATCAGGTCATCCTGCGTAGACACATTGGAGGGGATCGAACCACCGATTTTCTCATTGAAGGGGCGACCCCGGCCTCCCCGCTGAGCCCCAGTCGCCCCAAGAGGTCACACGTTAGTCAGAAGAAGCCAGAGTCACGGCCGTCCCGCCGGGATGCTTCCCCCCTCCCCCTTGCTGGTGGGTGATGATTTATGCCAAAAACAAAAAAGCAATCCCCTTTCTTGGCAGGCGCATTCTCCCGACAAGGTGGGAGCTTGTCTCTGAGTCATTGGCACCCCTGTAAGCATTTAATAGCTTAAAGACCAGCGAGGCAACACTCAAATATCAGACTGGGATAGAGCCTCACTCAAGAGGATCACTGGCGCACTGAGGTAAGTTCTTCTTCCATCCTTCATACCACACCACTACTGGTGGAGTGTTAAATATTCAGCCTTGGCTCCAGTCGACAATGAACTAATCGCGGGGGCCGATTCACTCGGGAGTCCAAAGAGAACGTTGCGTTAATGTGGGAAAAAAGCTTTTGCCAAGAAACATAAACACAAGGGAGCTGCCATGTTTCAGTGCTGTGGTATGTGCAGTGCAGCATTTTAGTTTAGATTTAAAAGCATGACGAAATGACTTCAACATGTTGCTTTTTGAGAGGTTCTGCACATGTGTACTTGTGTGTACACCTCCCATAGTGTGAGTTGCTTCTTACCTCACTTGTAAGGTGAAAAAAAACACTGCAGTGTTTTTTTGACAACTTGGCAAACAAAAAGAATGTTGTAATATTCATATAGCTCTATCCATGCTTTGCATCACAGACAGACTGTGGCTGAGGCAAAGACAGATCTGGTGTAATAACCCAAATACAACCTGCCACTCTCAGATATTGCAAACGGCAAGCATCAACATCAACCCCATGGATAGTCATATGCCTTTCGACATGCCCTCAGTAATATCGAATATCTCTCCGACTTCTGATAATAAAATTAGAAGAGCACTGTTTGGTGAAAAAAAAAGGTTCAGTAGCAGGCGACGTGTAGTCATGAGAACCGCTTGAGAAAGAGGTTTAAGGAGGTATATAAATCTCTCTCTCTCTATTTATATATATAGAGTTATGTGCAGATTTTCACCCCATAAGACTCATAATGTCAGGAGTGATTTATGTGCATATTAAGACGTTCGAGACGGGATGTTCACAGTTTAATGTGTCATATCGTGTGACGATGACGATACATTCTCTCATCGCACATGATGGTCCGTCGACACCCAAGAATATCACGCCACTATATTGGGTGGTGCTGGACCTCGACAATTACTGTACACGAGAGGTCAAACTTCTCAGGGATTACGGTTCAACGTGACAACGTTTTGAACCTCGTGTAAATACTCATTCAGGGTCACTTTTAATAAAATGCTTAATTTCCACCTAATAAAACATATGCCTCTTTTTCAATTAAATAGTTAAATAGTTTTGGTGGAACTGAACAAAAGTACCAGGAAATGACTCCTATTCCGTGACCATCGAACAAAGATGTAGGTTTAAGTTCAGGGTTCAGTTAGTTAGTTTAGTTTAGTGGCACCTCAGCTGCAGAAGCAGATCAGCATTACTATCGGCAGCACATGGGGGGGAAGTCAGTTGGTCAGTCTGTCATTCAGCTGCTTGGTGGCTGCATCTATCTGTTCTATTCAACTTGAAGTACAAGCAGGGGGCCGCCTTTGGGTCTGATAAGTGAAGCCAATGCGTACTACCCTTTAATTTGCAATTTATTTATTTATTTTTTACTTATGGCCACCGGGGAAAAACTCCTCCAGTTGCAAAAAAAAGAAAAGTGGTGGTGTGTCTTGATTTACTACCTCAGTAAACACGGTAAACATACGTCTGTGGCCTCAATCACTAGTTTCAACTGTTCTCCCTAGCCTGATGTAAATGTTGTGAATTACAGTCCCATTCAGAGTAAAATAGACATTTCAGCAGTGAGTGCGAGTCAGGTCAAGACCCTCGTGTGATTGCAAATTCTGGTTGGCAAAACAGCGAGAGCGCAAAAACAGGCAATAACCAAAACACACATATATATAAAACAAAGACCAGACAGCCTCAGCAATGTGTCATTCTTTAACAAATTGATGTCTCGCAATTCCTTTTATGAATGCACATTCACATTCAAACAGTTGCAAATGTTTGTAGTGAGGGGTTAATCACACCAGTGGGTGATTGTTTTCTATCTTTTCTATCTATCGAGTGAACATGAGCGAATGACACCAAAGCTTTAAACCAAAGGTCTAACAAATGACCAGACGGCAGAACAACAGACAACAGAAAATATGCTGTAGCTCCACTCACTGCTCTGCATGTTGTCACAGTATTACTACCATTTCTAATATGTATACCTCCTCTGTAGTTATGGCGAGGTCAACTAGATAATTGCTTGCCAAAGAAAAGAATCGGATTTTTCTTCTGCAAAGGTTTTTTCCTCTATTTACTTCTCCATTACCTGGTTTTAGAAGGTATATTATATTGACTGACTCTCTAATGTCAATAAGATTGTCTAGACAGGCAGGCTGCTCTAAAAGCAAATATTTTACCAAGTTACTAGCTTAATTTTATTTACGTGTAAATACCACGTCTGTAAATCAAATTAAGCGATTAGCATCACTTGTCCATTACAATAATGTTCTGTCTGTGTATTTGAGGGAAGTGACATCATCAGCGTCATTCTAAGTTTAGAAAACGTGTTGGTAAAGATCGCAATGTACTAGCAGAGATCAATGCACTGACTGGATCTGATGGATCATGAAAAATGTTCACACTAATTATAACATCACGCCTGCCTGCAAAGGCTTAACGTGACAAACATGTAAAACCTGCTAAAAAAAATGACATGAAAAGGAAATAGAAACTCCTGTTTTAATTTGAAGAGGCTTTTTAACTGAAAATGTGTTAATTCTCAGCATTCAGAAATCAGATGTGTGGCAGACACCCACAGACGATCATCTTTTGAGTTTTAATATAGTTATTCATCGCCAAAGGTGATGTTTGGAGAAAGCTTTCTTTGAGAAAGAGGAAAACAGCCAAGCGACAGGACATTTTTGAGCATAACTTGCTTTTAATTTTGTTTCATTTTTAATGTATGTGGCTTATCTTCGAAGAGGCTTAATCAAGAATAATTAACAGATATTTAACGCATCCTTCTCAAAGGGGTTTGCAATTGGCGCGTTCCCTTTATCTCAGCAAACTTAAGGATAACTACGCACTTAGTCAAATGAAGGAAGAGTCTAGGTCAAACCAAATCAAATTAATACAAGGGGAACATTTGTCCCAGCTCTTGTCATTTAAATTGCCTTCCATTCTCTTTTGCAGCTGCTGAAATTCTGCTGAATCCATCAAGGAATCAAAGGATTCAAGATGTTTAGAAGAACAAAAGTGATTGATGGGACAGCCACTGGACAAGGTACGCACTCAACTCTGATCTCCTTTTCTACAGAAGGAACGACATCAAATTTACCTTTTTTATTTTTCCTCTAAACTCTACAGAGCTATTAGAAAAACTGGCCTGACTAGTGACTTCTCCCTGACACACTGACACAGAAATAAGATGACACATTTCCAAACTAAGTCTAACAGAAATGATAGAATGAGGTTGGCAAGGAGATCCATTTAGGAATAAATCTTCATGAAATTTAGTTAATAACTAAGAACTATACCTCAAATGGGGAAATACTTATATAAAAGCTACATCTTACCTACAGCTGCCTTTCCCAGTGGTGCTATTCAAAACCAGGCTTACTCTACTCAGCAAGTTGTCCATCAGCAACCATTTTCAGATTTTACATTGTGCACATTGCCTCATTGTCATTGTCGTGACAGTCTGTCAAAGATCAAGAAGAGCTCATTAGGTGGCTTCAGATATGAAGCAGACTAACACTGCGTAGTGATGAGCAGATGAACTTTGATGCTCCACTAAATCTGAAAATAAGAATAATATATCCATGTTAATATCTATCACACATCTCACTGTCCCTCAGTTTCAATATTTGGATCCTGAGTCAAATGTTAAAACCGTGCTGACGTGCTGTATATGCTCTTTAACGTGTGCCTCATCAGATCCTGCGGCAGAAAATGTTAGAGAAGGTAGGTTTAGCGTACCACAGAGAACCCGCCTTCGGCCATCATTTTTATCCTTCCTGGCTGCTCACAAAGGCATGACGAACTGATTTGCAATTGATGTATTAATACACTGTACAGCGTGCATGTGATTTGTGCACAGATATGTAGGTGCATCACTACATATCTGATCTCAGGTTAAATGTTTGGTATAGATTGCAAAGGAGAAAAAAAAACAGGATACAGGGTAGAGTTATTGAAAGTGTAAATGTTGGGAATATGTGACAGAAGCGAGACTTTGACGCCAAAGCCACAAACAGTAACCCGATAGAGCGAGTAACATCAAACATTCTAATACACCATGTACTAGAATGTATTTCCGCATGGTCTATGAGGGTGATGAGCTGATTACAACAACAGACTTTGATGGTCGTGTTTTCCCCATTCTCTTCTCTGCGTGTGGTCACTGACATTTATTCTTTCAATGCCGACAGTGGGGATAAAGAAAAAGTCCAGTGTCCCCGGGGTGATGATTACGCAGTATATTGAGGAGCTGCCAGAAGGAAAGAGCCATCCAGACTTCACCCGCAAGCCCATTGCTCTAACCATCCAAGAGGGTACGTCTAATAGTGTGCAAAAAAATAAATGTGATCATTAGTATGGTCTATACCAAATAGTCTATGCAGGAATTCCCAATATTCTGCATAATTGATTAGATCCGTGACTTTTGTGCAATGGGCCAGTGGGAGCAGCTGTACTTTCATTAGACAAACTGTGTCCACTGTGAGATGATCTCATCTTTCCTTCTTTTTACAGGCAAATTTGCTTTTTTTAAAGCGATTGTCATTGGAGACCCCCAGCCGACCGTTACATGGGACAGAAACAACGGAGACGTCTCTGACACGTCGAGATATCAGACTAAATACGATCCCAATACCAATGAGCACACATTTGAGGCAAGCGAAAAGAGGCTACCAAATAGTATTGAGGTTTTACAGCAACATGCTGATTTAAGGGAATGACAAAAAGGGCAAATAGAAAATAGAAATAGATTGATTCACAGAGGAGGAGGTTGGGGGAAAAAGTAATTTCCTAATATCAATGTCTTTCAGCCTTACAATCCATTGGTTAACTTTGCCAATTACTTTTTCTGCAAAAGGTCAGTTACATAAAATGGATTAAACACGTCCCTCAACATATCCAGTCAATGCAAATTAAAAAGGCAAGCAGTTACACATTAATAAGAGGCCATCTACCAATCAAGCAGAGTGCAAGGGCACGAAATTGTGTTTGAGTCAAATTGATCTATCAAGGGAAATATGTCACATTAGTTTATGCATTATATCACTATTCATTGGATGCTATATAGCAGTCATTCCTCAACGGGGGTAATATCTGCATTGGGGGTACAGGGAAATAGTTCATTCATTTAGAAAAAAGTGTAATTATGATTTGGTAAAAAGGATGTATCCACTAATCCAATGAGCTGGCTATAATAAGCTGAACTGTGAGTTTTAACATTGTAATATGAAGTGATAGAGTCATTTTAGCTTTCCAAAGGAATCGGGTGACAAGATACAGCCCCTTTAACTTCCATTTAATTAAAAAAAATGAAAATTCAACCATGTGTGGGTGCATGACACGAGACTAAACATGTTTAAAATAAAATATAGTTAACACCCGCTGGGTCTATTTCACTGAGCATGTTTCATATCTTCCAGATGCCGAATGTCATGCCAGATCAGGCAGATACCTATAAATGCTTTGCCAAAAACGAATACGGACAGGCCATAGTCACAGTAGTTCTAAACGTGATTGCAGGTAAGCTGCTTGCATTTTAAGTGGCATCACCCAGAGTCATCTGATACAGCATGAAGACTTCAAATCAACTTCATATCGAGTTCCTTTTAATAACGTGAGTGCCTTGTTCTGCTTGCAGTTGGTTTCAAAAAGAACAAAGCCCAGCCAGAACCGGCTGAGGCCCCCGGTGGGAATTTTAAGTCTGTGCTGAAAAGGAGAAGGTGGGGTTGCGTTACAAGTGCGGACGGCTCGTGTGTGTGTTCCAAAAATGTGCCGTCGTCCTTCCAACTAAGTGCTCCTTTTTTGTTAAAATTTCCAGTAAGATCCTACCAGCGTCTGAGCAACCTGAGAGAAAAGAGGGAGAGATCGATCCTAAATTTTGGGAGATCCTAATCAGCTCTGATAAAAAAGACTACGAGAGCATCTGTGCAGAGTTTGGAGTGACTGACTTCCGTTGGATGCTGAAGACACTTAATGAAATGAAGAAAGAAAGGGAGGAAGAACAAGCTGAGGTTGGCATTGTCATTATTGAAAAGAAAAAAATATATATTATTATGTAACAACACTCATGTCTTCTTCCATTTTTCTCCTAGTTTGTCAGCAGCCTGTCCAACTTGAGACACATACGAGTCAATTCAGATAATACTGCATCCTTTGAGCTCGACATGGACCTCATAGAACCGAGCACCTCTTTATACCTGTACAAGGTTAGTGTGATAACTCTCATAGTAACCCACTACGGATGAGGAAGTTGGACAAACAAATGAACAGATGATCCTCTGGGCCTGCTTATTATTCATGCATCAAATTTACCTGAGCGACAGCTCGATTTGAACTCAAGTGGAATTTTGTCGGCTGTTTTCTTGCAGCAATATTTTGCAGGCACAATTTGGAATGTACCAGAAGTAATTTATGCTATTATCCCCGCAGGATGGTGTAATGGTTCCATATACAAAAGAGCTGGGAGATTCAATGAAGCACAGTCTTAAACTAGTGGGGAAAAAGTATATTTTCAGCGTGAGGGACCTCATGCCGGACGATGCCGGACTGTACCAGCTGGATGTAGGGGATGTGAATGTGTTTTCCACTGATTTTAAAGGTAAGTAAGTCACCCTGACACACACACAAAACATTATTATTCCCAATGTGTTTGATCATTTTTTTTACATTTATTTATGCAAATATAACAAGCTGTAATCTAAAATGCACTGGTTCTCCCTTTTCAGTCCCCCCGGTGGACTTCTTGGTGAAAATTCAGGAAGTGAAAGCAACGGAGAGAGAAGATGCTGTTTTCGAGTGTGTCCTGTCTAATCCCTTCTCCAAGATTCTGTGGTTTGGCAAGAATTTACCTCTGGAACAAGGAGATAAATATGATATCCAGGTTTCAGAAGACAAGCTCATTCACAAACTGGTGGTCAAAGACTGCTTGATTGTAGACAAAGGAATTTATTCTGCCTGTGCAGGAATAAAATCTTGCAATGCCTGGCTTGTTGTTGAAGGTAGGATATTATACTCCACCGCAACACTGATCTACTGTATGCCGGATTAATTTTGACCAATTATTGGTAAATCTTTCTTCCAATTTAGCTGATAAAGATGCACAAAAGGGCAAAAAAGCAGCAAGGAAAACCACAAGGGCAGGAGGATCTGGGATGGACCTGCAGAAGGTCGCCCAAGAGCAGCAAACAAAATTAGCAAAGGACAGAGAAGAAAGGAAAGAACAGATTAAAGCTGCATCAGTTGCACCACCTCCTGCACCCACTGCGGCTGAACCAGAGGCGACGAAAGAGCTAAGTAAGAACGCAGACCACAGCAGGGTTTGTTTTAATTCACAAACGAGGCAGCGGCATTGGACGCTTCTTTTTCTTTTTTACTCGAGGCTACTTGGAATGTGATAACCAAAATGTAACATTAACATCAATGTCGTGTTTGTGATCACTTTGTTACTTCTTTTAAATCTTAATAGCAACATTTGAACTTATGCAATAATGTTGCCATAAGCAGCAACAACATCATTTATTAACTTCAAGTAATTTGCAATGGACTGGGAGAAGGTTGCTAATTAAAACATTTGATAAAGAAAACAGTTGCATTTACATGAATTACTTGGTGAGGTATGAGGTATTGTTGGTTTTGCAACCACTAACTAGTTTTAATGGTTATTAGGCGATGTGAGCGAACCAGCAGCAGTCGTGGAGGTAGCAACCGCTGGTAAGAAACTCTGCATTTTTCAAAGCACGCTGTCATTTATGAGATCTTTATGATTATTTTCCACTATTGAAAATGCAGACACCTATTTAAGTGTATATGAATATAAATCTCATTCTGCAGAGATTTTAAATGTACCTGATCCATGTCAGTGTTGTGCCTGGTTTGATGTTATTGCTGCAATCGCTTTAGTGTCTATGTGCAGACTGGTTGGAACGGTTGTTAATAGAGCAATACAAAAAACAATATGCTAAATATTTAGGTCGGGTGCAGGAGTCCGGTCTCATCGATAACAATAGTCTGTAAATAATCTGTGCCAATTAATCCGTTTTATTTCCACCCTCCAACACTCCTGTTTTGAAAGAAGAGACAAAATTAGTATAGCAGATTTTTCCTTAATTTCATTTCATGGCTGTAAATTCAAAAATGGGAATATTATTGACTATTACAAAGCAGCATAATTCACAATGAAATTACATTAAGCGTAGCGGCGGTGACACGCGGCGCCCGGGAAGCTTTGAGAGCAACTGCAGTTTTCATTAAAAAGTTTTTGAAAACGGTTCGAACTTGCTCGTGTCGTGTTGATAAAGATTTGTGAACTAACTTCTGTTTCTGTTCCATGTTCGCTGCTTGTTAATGGGTTTGCTGTCATTACACAATAACTTTATCATAAAATAGTATTTCAACTGCTTATTTGCAAAGATTTTACTGAGAAACAAATTTAGCTTATGGATGTTGTTTAAGTTTTAGACTATTTACAGAGTTGAAGAATTAAAGCAATAACTATTCACCAAGGTAGAGACAATTAAAACATTAATCACCTGATGTCCTTCATATCGATGACGAGTAAAGATTAAAAAGCACATGTGCAGGTATGAGATTTAGTCCTGTGTATTTACATAATCTACAGTCATTAATTGTAAGATGCTGCACATGAAGGTACAAAGTGGTGACTCATTTTATTTCATGTTGCCCAGAGCCTCGAATTACCGGAAAACTTTCCGATATTTGTGTTCTTCGTGGAAATCCAGCCGAGTTAACGGTAGAGATGAGCATGGACTGCAGCGGCACCTGGTTTAAAGACGGAGAGCCGGTAAGGCAGTTCACACTTCAGATGATTCTCATTCAGAGTAAAAGGGAAAATATTTCTGTCATTTTCTGGTTTAGAAATGACAAATAAAAAATGAACCAATAGTCTTGTATCTTTAGAGGGGGATTATTGTTGTTTTGCCAAATAGTGATGCAACAGACACAAATGTAATCTTCTCCCTTTCACAATTAATTTGCCAGTTAAACTCGGGTGCTGGGGTCACCACGACCAAGTCTGGAACCCGTCACAAGCTGAGAATTCAAAGCTGCAAAGACGATGACTCTGGAGTCTATCGTTTTGTATCGGGAGATCAGAGCACACAAGCAAAGGTCACCGTCGGAGGTATAATTTACTCCCCTCTGTTGTGGAACACATTAAATGCCACAACACTCTCTGTGCATTACACTGAAAAAAAATACACTTTGTGTCTCACAGGTGCACCCGAATTTGACCCGGACGACCTCCACAAGTTCTCCAAGCCTGTGATCATACGAGTTGGCCAGAACGCTGCTTTCAAGATGCCCTTTCCTCCTCAGGGGAATTTGGAGGTCCGTTGGTTCAGGGACGGCACCGAGATCAAAGACGGAGGGGGAGTTAAGATCGCGAGGGAGCCCAATCACAGCCGGCTGCTGCTCAGAGACTGCCTGCGGACGGACGCCGGGGAAATAAAGATCCAACTCAAAAACCCATTCGGGGCTATGGAGGCCACATCTAGGCTTATTGTGCTCGGTAGGAAAAAGAAAAGTTGGAAATAGTCAGGAATCTACGTTTAGATCGCCAGCATTGGTTTACCACATGCAATCAGAGCCACGCTCAAACATAAACACAACCATCCACCTTTTGAAGCATCACTTTTACACAAGCACACTGGAAATGTAACTCGGTGTTTTTGTGACAGATCGGCCGGGTCCTCCCGAGGGTCCAGTGGAGACTGTTGAAACAACCTCGTCTTTAATTGAGATCAAATGGAGCCCTCCCAAAGACGACGGCGGCTCCGCTGTCACCAACTACATCATAGAACGGCAACAGGCAGGACAAGCTCTGTGGACCAAACTTGGGGACGTCTCGGCTGACAAGACCTCCATCAGAGACAGGAATGTGACTCACGGGAAGAAATATAGCTACCGGATCTGTGCACAAAACCCAGAGGGCCTCAGTGACGCGCTGGAGACGGCTGATAGCATTATGGCAGGCATAATGAGTAAGAAAAAAGAGCCCTATTGCATTCCTCTGCAAATCCCATGTTAATCTTCCTCAGGTGGTAATAAATGAAAATGCTTCTGGGTAGTTTTGTGATTGTTTCAAAGAGAAGAAAATACCTTATATCATTGCTGTAAATGTTGCTTTATCTCCTGCAATGATATTATATGGATGACGTTGATTTATTCCATGTCTGTGATCACGTCTCATCTATTAATAATTAGATCTCTCAATCAGATTATTTGTCATTTCTTAGTCCTCTCCGGTCCACCTGGAGCCCCCGCTGTGGTGAGTGCCTCCAAAACCTGCATCAACTTGACTTGGACCCCCCCAGAGGACGACAGAGGAGTACCGATCATCGGTTACCAACTGGAGAAACGGAAGAAGGACACAAACCTTTGGATTGCCCTGAATGCACTCAATGAACCGATTGAAGGTTTGTGAGAATACAAAGACTATAGTCTTTTAAATTGAAGGTAAAATTTGCTTATTTTTCCATCATGTATTTCTGCTGAAAATCCTTTTCAGACGTGAAATATGCAGTTAAAGAGGTCACTGAGGGAGCAGAGTACGAGTTCAGGGTTTCAGCTATTAATGAGTCCGGCGCAGGAGATCCGAGCCCTCCCTCTGCAATGGCGTGTGCAAAGAACCCCAACAGTAAGCAATTAACTTCCTCCATCGTGCATATTAATAATTCAACTTTGTTATCGCGAGCAATGTTCGCCGCCCGTCTGCATTCATGTTGTGTGTGTTTTCCACCAGTGAGACCTTGTTTTAAAGACCCAGAGGACTTCATTGTTGTCAGAGCAGGAAATTCAGCGCGTGTCAAAGTTTGCTATGAGGTATTCATATAATTAATATAAGCCGAGGCATTCTTCCATGGTCAGTCAAGTCAGGGCGTTTGACTTTTCATTTCCCCCCTCTGCCCCCTGTCATATTCTTAAGTGATGAGTTTACTACCGTGCCGGATGCGTAAGCCTCACGCGGTCTCTAATCTATCCCGTATTGATACCTCCAGGGCGAACCGCCACCTCAGATCACTTGGCTGAAGGACGATGAGCCAATATCCCCGTGGATTAATGTCATCAATACAGAGGGAACGTCTCAGCTTGTTATCCCCTCATCAAAGCGCTCAGATTCAGCCATCTACACTATTAAAGCCAAAAACTCCATGGGTGAGGCTTCATTCGACATTGAGGTCAGAGTCACAGGTAAGTACAAACTGTAACATATTAGGATGAGAACAGGGATTTTTACTATTTTTTTCTCAAATAAGTTATTTACTTAAAACTACTTTGACTTGAACAAAGATACTTAATAAAACATCCTACTTCTTTGAAAAATATTACATAGTTAGAATTTGAAAGCTGTAAAGTTCTGTGTAGAATACGCAATTTGGTTTGACAATCTTCTCCTTTGGATTAAGAGTTAATTGGAATTCACTTAATTGCTCGAATTGTGTTCCACGGGCCGGAGGAGATCATCATTAATATCGACACTTGACAGTATTATTGTGGTATTTCTATCCAATTAAATACCAATGACACACCAATGCATTGGCAACCGAATGTCAAATAGTTAACGCTTAACTTTTAATGGAATGAGAAACATAATACTCTGTAACATGCACTAATAGGATGATTAACTTGCAATTGTAATCCTCAACAAATCCCACAGAGGAAAGGCCCCTTGAATGCGGTAAGACTATGTAAAGGTTCAAAGCAACCACAGTGCAAGGAAATGAAGGAAAATAGAAGGGAAAATGGGACATCTGTTGAGTAATTTGACCTCTCTAGCACGTTGTGCATCGCATTGGATTTTGTTTCTAGACGAACCCAAAGCTCCAGGGCCGGTGGAGCTGGAGCAATCAGTCACCGGCAAAGTGGTGGTATCCTGGGCTCCTTCTCCGGACCAGGAGCTCGACGACCGCCTTTACTACGTGGTGTCTCAACGCGACTCCGCCACCAGGTCGTGGAAGAACGTGGCAGACCGCCTCTTCGCTAACACGCACACAGTCAACAACATCCTCCCTGGGGTTCAGTACCATTTCCGGATCTTTGCCAAGAATGATATGGGCCTCTCAGATCCATCACAGTCCCCTACATGGGGTGCGAACAGCAACAGAGGTGGGTTATTGATTTAAATTCAATCTGTTTGTTCAAATGTTCTGTGCTAAAAAAAAAAAAGTTAAATCATCATGTCCAATAACATCCAATAACAACACACAGAGCTTATCGGTTTCAAGCAGCTATGATTTCGATGTGTAATAGCTGATGCCGATGACAAGGCCTTGACATTAACGCTTTTATTTTTTATTTGGGTGAAATGTTTTACTTGTCCGATAGCAAAGTTGTCCCTATCTGCGATGGAAAATGTAGGCTTAATAAACATCTAATTGGAAGTACGCTTTATTAATGCAAACTATACAATAGACATTCCGATCCCTAATAAGTAGTTTATTTCACCCGGGCAAGTGGTCAATCGATAATACTGGTACCCTGGTGATGGTTGAATATTCCAGTTTCTGTTTGTTTGGAGATGCTAGACACATCCATTGAAAAAAAACAACTCTCCAGACTCCTAAACATTCACAACTATGCTAACATAGTGAGCATGTTCGCATGGTCACCAAGAGCCTTTTGCTGTGTAGATGTGAACCTAGATGCCTCTGAGCGAAATGATACCGTTTGCAGAGCTGGGTAATACAAGCCAATGTCTGACATATTTCTGGATCCTTGTTAGATACGGTTTTAATGTGACCCACATGACATTTCACTCCTTGATTTTATTTTCCCTATCAAGTTCCAATACCTTCAAAAGGACTTAAATCATCAGGGGTCAGCTTTGAGAGGCCTCCGTCCATCTTGGTGCCTCTGAAGGTCCACGCGCCGCCTAAAGGTTACCAACTGTACATGACCTGCGCTGTCCGCGGATGCCCCACGCCCACCGTGTCCTGGTACCTGGACGACGTCTGCATCAACTTCGACAAGGACTACTACATCACCAACTCATTCGGCGTGTGCTCCATCTACATCCTCAGAGTGCGGTCCAAAGACAGCGGCGTCTATAAAGTGGTTGCGGTCAACTCTTTTGGCCAGGCGCAGTGTTCTACCAAGCTCGCTGTTAGAGGTAGGAGTTCACTTCAGAATTAGCGATACTTTCAGAATGATCCGTTGAGGTTCCTGCTTGTAATGATTATTTTTCTCTGTTTTTTTTTTGTTGCCAACAGATTGAAATGAAGATATTGAGCAGCCTCTCTTCATTCTGGATAATGAGGAAAGGAAATGGTTTTTGCGTCACTACATAGACAATGAATTCATTGTAAATGTGACAATTTACAATTGTTAACCCATCATCAGAAATAATACCACAAGTGACATGAAACTCTGAAATTGCAAAGATGTAAATCTTTTGTGGCAACTCCAATAAAACAAGAAACTGACAAGTGTGTAACTTTATTTTTTTGTCCCTGGATTATCCCTTTATCAATAACGTCATGCGTATATATCTTCACTACTCAAAAACAAGCTCTGTGGCTGTCAACAAGCAACAGTTATTTCCAGCATGTGTTTGCACATGTCCCCAATATCTGAGCCCACAACATCATTAAGTGCTTGTCAACAAGAGTGCACATTTTCATTGCATTTCCATATATATATATATATCAACCTTAGCATCCCAGTAAATTGTCTGTAACAAGATCCTCAACCTTAAATAACTCAATTCTATTTCTACAAGCAAATAACGGCTACAGCACAAGCTTTCAGGGACTGAACCGTTTATCAAAAGACACTCATTCATACATTAATTCAGGTTATATAATTACGAAGCCATTCAGACAAAGGCAACACAAATAAAGGCCGATTGTGACAACTATCAAATGAAATTAAATAAAAAATAAACACATACAGCAAACATTGCTATTGTACCATTTTGCATTATATTGCTCTTATGAGTGCGTTATTCCACCCACTGATATGCAATAGCAATATAATGCAAAATGTACTCATATAATATTTAGTGCAGATTGTGATGTCCTTACCTTGTTTCCCGGAGGCGACATTTCTGTTTATTCTCCATAAGGTTCATCAGGCTCTTCTGTCTCTTTCATGGGGGGTTACTACTCAAACCGTCTTGGCTAATTCACGCTGGTCGAACCTCTGACAACGTGAACCCCGAAGCCAGCTCAGTGCAACAAGTCCATCGCACCAGAACACCACGAACGAGCATCTTTTTATAAAGCTTCCCGAGGTCGAGGGGTGACTCGGTGAATAACGCGGGCACGCTGCGAAGATTCCAGCTTATGGGAAGGGCCAATTCATTTATATTAACCAGCGATTATTTTACCAAATAAAGTGTCTTGGGTTTATGTTTATTGGTCAATAAAGTCAATATTACAGTGATCCTCTTACAGGATACTTTGTGAAGCCGCCTGGGAAAAGCTTTTGGTCGGCGGCATTGAGTCTTTGATGGACATAATTCATCCATAAATCATGAAGCCTTAACCATCAACCCCTAAGGGGGTTTATACTGTCACCAGTAATGGTAGAAATCTGTTGACTGGATGGAACCAAGATTGAATGAACAGTCATGACGTATTTCCAGGGCAAACTGCAAAGTGATCGCTTTAATAGGGATGGGTAAGACGAACCTGCAACCTCAACCAATACGGGTTTTCAGCAACTACATTTCATCCATGTATAGCGTTTGATGGACCCCGAACTTTTATAGAGCGAACAAAAAGGCGTGTCACCTCTTTTTTTGGGACAGGGAGAAGAGTTCAAAAGCTGAAGACAAAAAGCGGAACGTAGACGAAGAACAACTGAACGTAAGTACGATTCTTTTTTTTGGGGCCAAGTTTGTTGTGTCAATCATTTTCATGCCATTAATATCCAGACCAAACGCAACGACAGCTTCTTAGATGGTGCATCTTCTTGCAGGATGGATTATCTAAATATTGCATAACAGAAAGGCAGCTTTGGTTTTGAAAGAAAACAGAAAACCTTCATGTTAAATCTGACATGAGACAGTGAGTTTTTTGTGCATCTTTTCAAAAAGATAACCAGAAGGATTGGTTGATCGTCGATAAACACCAGATATTGTTCAAAATAATTGATCATGCTGCTGCAAAAAGCTATTCACCCCAATGAAAGGAAAAATCAGATTAACATTTTTTAATGTTTTTTTTTAATAGTGACCTGCAGACAAAGACTCGGTGCATTTTATACATCCATTAAAATATGGCGTTGCTGGTTTGTTGGCCTGGCATCACTAACGTGGGCTATAACAACAAGAACCGGCAAAATACACTCCTGCTATGTGTACTACTGCTGGTACTGCCACAGGCACAGCGGTAGAAAAATAAATCCTGACCACATTTAGTGTATTATTCATCAAAAGTTCTGCAGTGACAGTGCAGAACTCTGAGTCCCTGTGAAAGAACAAAACACGTGGACGGACCTGCGATCACGCTGTAATACGTCAAAGATGTAAACCGTGTTACATATTTCAGTCACGAATGGGCCGTTAACAACTGGCTGCCCATGACTAACAAAGTGGTTGAGCGGGAGACAGTAATGGATGTGTGACACATTAAAACAGTAATATAAACATCTTGCTGGTTTGTAGATGATTAAGGTCTGATATTCTTTTGGTCCTTAAAATCACCGGGGCTTGTAAAAATACTTATGGTCCTTATCTTGATATACAGCTCCTTTCAGTTCTCATTAAAATCCGTAACAGTTTTCACGCCATTGCCAATAGGTGATACTCGACCTAAAGATTCTGTGTAAATGGATTCAACTCTCGGGTTTGTTACTTAATTGATGAATCACGGTGCTTTCTAGCCATCCAACATGAAAACACATCCACACGATCGCCCAGCACAGCCAGTTTAAGTTTACTTCCAGTCTTTTTGCCGTCAGTCGACAACCAGGCCAACTATGCGAAACATCATTTTTAAGATTTACGTATTCGTGCGTCGGCTCAACAGTTTGATTGTGAGGCATTCCGCCCCGCGGCTATGTTTGGAGCCGAGGCCGTTAAAGCCACTCGACTCCACAGGCAGAGTCAGCCGCTAGGTGGAATTTCACATTCCACATTTACTGTGTCCCAGCTCGTCTCCAAGTGCCGGCTAGCGTCACGCGGGTGTGTGGGTGTGTGGTGGGCCGGGGGGGTTGAGTCGTCCCCGCATCGACAGGCTGACGCCACACGGTAACATAATTAGTTGAACATTCGTATGAAACCATGTTGAAGATGATAGAAGTAATTGTTGCTATTTTCTGACATTTAGTGAACACATAGATTTTGAGAAAATAATTATTAGTTGCAACTATGTGAGACGTTTTCATAAAAAATACACAATTTCCCGACACCAAAGTGTTTTTGTTCAACTTGCCTCAGCACTCTTTTTCCCTGAATTAATTAAAAATACTCACTGTGCAAAACACATTAGCAGCAAGAACCTTTATTGCAAATAACTCGCCTCATTAAAAATGTAAAAATGTAGTTCTAGATTCACCATTTACATCATACTTTCTGGTTTACAGTCTTTAAACACCAGAGTTTAAAAACGATTCGCGTTTGGATACGATTCGATGTCGGTCATGAAAATTGTGACGTGATACACTTGGTTTTGAACACGGACAAAAGAGAACCACAATCATCACGTGTCGTCTTTGTGTTTCAGCCAGAAGAGAAACTCTTAGTTACCAAACAACCAACAACACGGCAATGAGTTCAAAAACCAACCAGGACCCAAAAGCCGCAGGTAAGTCTGGAAATTACAAAGCATTTATTTATGTCCCTTCCGTTTGTTGTGCAAGGACATGCGGTGCGGTTGGTATAAATTGTCTCCTTGTTAAATTCCACGTATTTAGCAAACAACTGGCCGAAGGAGTTATGGGTATTAAAATGGCATTTATTGTAAATATTCTTTGATCATCAACAGTTATTCTGCTGATTCGCTGCCTGGATTAGAACACTTGTGATTCAACATGTCATCCTGCAAAAGAGTGCAGGATAACGCAGACGTAACACCACACCGCCAACCCAAAATACAACCTGAAAATGAGTCCTTATCCCCTTTAAGCCTTTTGCAATTGTTTATAACGTTTTACAGACTAGTTAATTAAGAAAAATCCCTTCCTTTATTCTGCCATGGCTTTGCATACAATTGTAAAACATGAAGAGGAAGAAATAAAAAAACAAAGCAGAAAGCAAGATACTTTGAGCTTCATTTGCCTTCAGAAATACTGCTTCTTCAAAAAGAAGTGTGGTCCATCACAAATAAATATGAAGCACAAGAAACGTATGAATCATTGTATAACTCTGATAAAAGCTCTGACAGGGTGTGAAACTATTTCCGCTCATTCTAGATTTCTCCTGTTAGTGACTCAGTGTGGATCTGCTTTAAACAGCCGACAAATTCACACCGAAAGTGTCCTGAGTACTGCCGGGAGTGATCGGTGTGCTGAGTCAAACGACGGAACGCTGTCCTACCAGACTTGGATTATGTGTGAATCAATACTCGAGGAGGAGCAACAATCCCGCCTGCATTCAGATGATATGGCGTACGAGCGCAGAGCCGTCCCCCGAGAGGAGACACGCGCAGCTCGATGAATATTCAACATATAAGGTCTGCTGTGGAAAAGTAATGAAGAATGGGTCACCTAAAAGTTACACACATTAGAAGTAGTGAAATAATAAGTCAACCCTTGAGGTTACTGTATGTCAGGAATGGCAAATCGTGTATTTCGGGAGAAAAAATAGGACCTGGTTCCGCTTTGAAGTTCACCATCTCGGTGCATTCTTGCACGTTTAAAAGGAATAACTGCGCTGTCTTTTTCCCCGCCGAAACGCGGGACATATTTTAACTGCCAGTATCTACGAAATCAAACAAGTTGAGGATCTGACGCGTGAAAACACTCACATGCTAAAATGATTGATGGATACAAAAAACGTGATTTAACTACTTTAGAAACATTGACCAATTAAATCTGGTCAGACAACAAGGACCGAATGTAGAGGCTTAAACGAGATTAAAGCATACTGAATAACGCGCTGCTCTTGTTTTGTTAATGACCGTAAGGGGAAATGAAGACCTAGCCAGCTTTAGATTCACTTTAACAATCAGATCTGGAGCCTCTAATGTCGATCTATATATTCTCTACCTATTTTTCCAGCTGAATCAGTTTGGTGTCCCGGAAAGATCACTCATAGCCTTATGACAAACTCCTTAAGTGTTTCTTTTTTTAAAATAGATCATATTTAACGACAGTGTGGGCTCTTTGGTAGCTCCGATTGCCCGACAAGGTAGCGGGGGGGGCCTTAGCGAAGGGTCAATTGTAGACGGCTTTTTTTTTTTTTAAATGGATCAGAATGGGCTTCAAGTGTGGATATGTACGAGTGTCGCATAAACCCGAACATGGTTGTGAACATCCAACAAAACCAGGACAACAGATGTGGTCAACGTGGCTCAAAGAACCGATTCTTCCATCAGCAGTGAGGTCTCGTCGCACGTTAAGGCCCGAAGGTTGAATGAACCAATGGGAGTCGTTACGACGCGGGACGCGCTGGTGCAGAAACGGGAGTAACTGAGTGGGAGTTTTTCATTTCAACAGCTGTTGGATCAACTTACTGTCGGATGCTGAGTCAGTTGAAATCCAAGAGAGGAATAACATTGACCAAATGTGTCAGCTTCCATCTTTTATGTGCCATCTGCACCACGGAGGCGGGGCGGGGGGGGGCAGTGCTGTTAATTTCTCTTGTCATAATATAATGTACAGACCTGATTTTCTATCATTTATATAATAACGTAGTGTAGCTTTGTCCAGAATACATCAGCACAAGTTAAAATTCGTTTAACTGCAGATGTGGCCGCTGTAATGACTGACCAATCAAAGGGAAACACTGACCTCTTGTGAAGTTCTAGCTTAACTGCAACCAACTCATTTGTGAAGGGACCGTTCTTCAAACCTCGGATATAACTGATGTTTACGGTAATGTTACTAAAAGCATTGACCTGTCAAAAACGTGACTGGACTTTATTACTCAGTCAGAGGAATAACAATGTGGTTGTCAGTGGGATGGAAACCGAGTGCTATAATTTCATACTAGGCCATTCCAGACAGCGGCACAATTTAAAGTGTAGCAGGGAATAATGACAAAGAGGAGCAGCCGCATCGAGCCGTTGGATGAAGAGCTGCAGGCTGCAAACATTCAACTTCTCAGCGAGGTAACAAACCACTCTCGCTGCTCGCAGACCGAACGCCGTGTCCAGCATGGGAATCGGATCACTGTTGCTCACAGAAAGATAGAAACACTCCTGTAGGATTAAACCTTTATTTTTGGGACACGGGTGTCGCCGTGTCAACCAGGACTGAACTCTTACGGATCGCACGCATTAACGAGTTCAACTGTTGTTCTCTGGGTTCGACAGTGGCCATCCAGAAAAGGTCAAGGGTCCCCGGGGTGATGATCACCCAGTATGTGGAGTCACTGCCTGCAGGGAAGTCAACGCCCGACTTCACCCGGAAACCAATGGCTGCGACCACTCAAGAGGGCAAGCGACAAAACCCGCGACAAACTTTGATTACGACAACGTAACGAGACACCGTCTACAACTGTATCGCTGCCTCGCTGCCTTTGTTTTTTGTTTTTCAGGGAAAAAAATATTCTTCAAAGCCGTGGTCAGCGGAGAGCCGGCGCCGGCCGTGACGTGGGGCCGTAATAAGGGCGAGGTCGATGACCCGGAGAAATACAAGACCCGATATGACGGAAGAGCCCAAGAGCACATTCTAGAGGTGAGAGACTAAAGGAAATGCTCTTCACGTATCTCACATACATTCAAATCCCCCTTCCTGTAATTGTTTTTACACTAAATTATTGGGATTTGTTCTCAACCAGAGACAGAACTTAAAAGATGTAATCTCGTGATAATATCGCTCCACCAGATTGTCAACGTAAAACCGGACCAGGCCGACACCTACAAATGCTTTGCCACCAATGAGTTCGGAATGGCTGTTTGCACTGCGGCTCTCAATGTTATTGGAGGTAAAAGACTAGATCATGTTTGATAAAGGTTAATCAAATTAAAATGCAATATACTGGAGATTTGACAAATCACTAAGAATTTATTGTTGATTTTTTCCCCAGGTGGTCTGAAGAAGAAAGCCAAAGAAGGTATTACATTTATCATGTTTATGTAGAGCCATTTATAGAATTTAATCAAATGTAATTGTAGGGTATTTGCAATGAAAAAAAAAAAACCCTGTATCTTATTTTTTACTCACAAATTGATTCTCATTTCCTGTCACCAAATGGCGAAGCACCCCAAGATTTCCGAAAAATGCTAAAAAAAACGTAAGTTGAGGTCAGAGTTCATGTGTTTTTGTTTTTTGTTGTCACTATGCAGTGCTTCATATGTCATAGTTCACTCCATCTTTCTCCTTTCAGTGTTGTCGTCACCCGAAAGAAACAGCTCCCGCCAAAAAAAGAGGGGGAAATTGATCCTAAGCTCTTGGAGCTGCTTATCAGTGCACCAAAGAAGGACTACGAAAGAATCTGCTTTGACTTTGGTGTTTCCGACTTTCGCTGGTTGCTGAAGAGACTCAACCAGCTGAAAAAAGAAAGGAATGACGAGCAGGCAAAGGTACTGTACTGCATGCACTTTGTGACAACAGACCATAAAGTTTATATCAGGTAGTTTAACCCACAATTGCTGGTGAGGTTTTAAGGAAAGTCGCACATTTTGTGTGTATAATATTAACATTTATAAAGTGTTTTAAAGGTGGAATAGCAGACCTGGTGGCCAAATATCATCTGCAGCAGAGCATCTCGATTATTGTTCTGCCAAGGATGCCTCACCAGATAGAGAATACACTTCTAATCTATGTCAATGAACAATACAAGAGGAATGGGCTAGAAAGACACGATTCAAACATATTTACAGGCTCTTTGTCGTCTTTGAAGTCATTTACTGGAAATATGTTTCATTAATAATATAAAATAGATCTCTGCAGAGATTACTTCTTTTTCAAGTACACACCTGTTCCTTAAACAAAAAGTGAATGTTGTTTTTCTTTTACATATTAGATAATTATATATACACGTTTATGTTCCTTTCAGGCTTGTTCAGCAGATACCTCTAACACCACTTTAATGATGCGTTGTACACATTGAAGTGTAGATACACACAGCAGCAGATAGAAGTAGAAAGGTGCACTCGGAGAGCGGATCAACACCATCGAGCACTACTTTTCTATCTGATAGACTGTGTGCATTGTGCTCTAAGGCTTCAGAAAACAAACTCAACAAGCTGTTAGGTGGCCAATGTCAGACGGTTCTATACAATCTTGCAAAAAACAGAAATGAAGCAACCAAGAAGTCAGCAGTGTGTGTACTCGTAGATCCATTAGCTATACATAAAGAAAAAATAATAAAATATGCAAACGGTTTGTGTCGTTTGTCTTTGGCTGATTGATTCTCAGAAATATGTGTACTGGTTGTAACGGAAATGGAAATAAAAAGCAAAGAACACATTAAAAACGCTTTAGTTTGTTTTACCCGCTGACCTTATTTCATGCATTAATCAAAGAGCCATTAAAAAAACATTGATTTCGAGACAAAGAAGCGGTGAGTTTTAGAACTCATTCCCGCGTCTCTGTATTGTATAAAAAGTCCGTGGCTCAGTGGAGGAGCCGTGCGTTGATCAATTAGACTCCTCATGGGCAAGCGGCACCTCGCATAATGTAGTGGTGAAGCTTTTTGAATAAAATAGTCGGACCATTTACCAATAGGGATGTCAAAGGAAAGTTAAACTACCGGATGTCTGAAAAAAATAAACATTTACGGTTGCAAGGGGACTGCGCATTGGAAAATCATTTGGAGGATTTCTTTCCCGAGGTTTGTGTTGATCGGTTTGCCCAAAGGCACGCCAGTTTAATGCATCTTGAGAACATTTATGCTCCATTGACGGCCAAGTATGGTGAAATGTCATAGATTCAGCAGTGAAAAAAATCGGACATAACATTTCACTTTCTCTTTTTCAGGTCGTAGAGCAACTGGACAATGTGAAACAAATAGAGGTCAAATCAAACGGGAGAGCTGAGTTTGGCTTCGACATGTCACTGCATGACCCCAACAGTGCAATCAACTTATACAAGGTGAGTTGAACTGTAAAAAAAAAAAAAAAAAAAAAAGAAAGAAAGAAAGAAATGGAAATAGAAAATCTAATCGAAGCACTTTTCTATAAAAAAGGACGGGACAATGGTTCCATACGGAGACGATGAAAATTCAAAGCACAGCCTTAAGACCTCAGGGAAAAAATATGTTTTCAGCATCAAAGATCCTCAGCCAGAAGATGCTGGATTTTACCAGGTCGATGTTGAAGAAGCAAATGTCCTTTCAACTGACTTTCGAGGTAAAAATATAACTGGTGCTACTGTAAGCAAACCGGATGGCAGTTGATGCACATGCAGGAATCCACATCCTCCCTCCCTCCTCCCTCAGTGCCTGCTGTGGAGTTCGTAGCCAAGATTAAGGACGTGACGGCCTCCGAAAGTGAAGACGCCATCTTTCAGTGTGTCTTGTCAACACCGCTCAAAAGAATCACCTGGTCAAAACAGGAATCATCACTTGAACACGGGGACAAATATGAGATCACTGTCTCGGAGGACAATCTAATTCACACGTTGACAGTTAAAAACTCTAACAAGGAGGATATTGGAGCCTATTATGCCATTGCTGGTATACAATCCAGCTGTGCTTCTCTAAAAGTGGAAGGTGGGACATCTTGTATTTAAGCTAAACGGATCTATGCATTACTCTCTGCTTGGTATCTGAATGAAATGGTGGAAAAAAAAAAGTTATTCATTTGTTACCCCTACCTGTATATCTTTGCTGTAATTCAGCTGATCTGAATGATAAAAGACACAAGGACACCCAAAGAGGGAATCAGGATGGCCTGAATAAACTTGCACTGGAGCAGCAGGCCCAGCAACAGAAAGACGACTTGGAGGCAGCCAGACGAGCTGGAGGGGATGGAGACGGGTCTGGTGATGGTTCCGGAGGCCAGACGGATGGAGACAATGGAGATGATGGTGGCGACGGCACGAATAAGAACCTCCTGACAGAAGGAGATGATGATGAAAATAAAGGAAATGATGGAGATGATAAGGAAAAGAAGCAGGGACGAGCTGGCCCTTTGGCTCCCGACACAGTTGCAGGTAAAGTCATTGCATTGTGCGAAGGCCGAATAAGGAGATCTATATAATAATAAAGTGACACAACGTTGTCGTACTGCCCATTCTCAGCTGAGCTCTCTAGAGCTGTATTAAGGAAGTGTCTTCAAATTATTCCAAGCCATCGGACTGGAGGTTTGACAAGACAATGCAGTTGGTCCCACCATAAAGTAACATACATGAGAGATAGTATGGGCCCAAGTGAAGATGATGGAGGCCTACTGTTTAAAAGACTTTTGAAGACTTTTTCGAATAGTACCCTGTGGAGTGACTACATGTCAGATGGATGCAGGAAGTTTTTGGCTTATGCAACAACACATAACTCACTAACTAATTGGGCGGCAGAAAATGAACTGTACAATATTTATAGTAGTATCATGTTTCTGTAGCTTAACAATTATAAAGGACTTTAATGATATTTAAATATAGCGCAGTGCCGTATGTTGACCACTAGAGGGTGACATTCTTATATTTACCAGAAGTAAAGAACACATTAAATAAACAGGCTTTTTGATGATTTCACAATGTTCCCTTTGTTCCTACTTGCAGATCGCGGCGCTCAGTTCATCTGTGGACTGTCGGACACTGTCGCTAACATCGCGCAACGGACAGAGCTCTCCTGCAAACTAAGCAGCGAGGCCACTGAGGGGCGTTGGTATAAAAATGGGAAGCTGGTAAATCAACTATTTTTAGAGGATGTTGAATATAGAGGACTACTGCCATCTATCCTGGCATGCAGAAACTGTATTAGTGCATTGCTTTGTTTCATTTGTCTGAATGTTTGTGTGATGGATATTGAATCTTTTTACCTGAAAAGCTGACCAATGAGGATGGGGTAACAATTATCAAAGACGGGGCCTGTCACAGGTTGGTAATTGATTGCTGTAAAAAAGATGACGCGGCTGTGTACTGCTTTGAAGCCGACGGCCGTAAATCCGAAGCAACTCTTAACATTCAAGGTCAGAAAAAAGAAAAAAATCAATAACATAGTTTGGCATTAATTGATAAATCATTCTTTGAATGAAACGCTTTGAGCCTTTTGACGAATACTTTTTTCTCCAACATTAAAGATCCCCCAATAATTGATGAGGATGCGCTAGGAAAATTCTCAAAGGCAGTCGTTATAAAGGCAGGTGAAAATGCAGAATGGAAGATGCCGTTCTCAGGTGGGGCTCCGATGACTATACAGTGGTACAAGGATGACGATGAGCTTTTGCCCGCTCTCAATGTGAAGATCGAAACATCCGCTAATGAGAGCAAACTACGCCTTGTTAAGTGTCAGAGGACAGATGGTGGGGAGGTCAAAATAAAAATAAAAAATGAATTTGGTACGACGGAAGCTATTTCCAAACTTAACGTGCTGGGTGAGTTGTCAAAAAGAGACCCAAGTTTCCATACGAGAGTTTTTCCCTGTTTTCCCTGTACAACCTTAGTTTCATTTCATCAACAGACAAACCCACGCCCCCACAGGGGCCGCTGGACGTTACAGAAAGTGCCGTGACATCGGTTGAGTTTCAATGGAAACCACCAAAACACAGCGGCGGATGCCCGGTCACAAGCTACACCATAGAACGCCAACAAGTCGGGCGCAATAAATGGACGGATCTCGGTGAGATCCCCGGCAGCATCTTGAGTTACAAAGACTCAGATGTGAACCCCGGAAGGAGATACTGCTACCGGATCAGAGCCAAGAACGCTGAAGGCGTCAGTGACCACCTGCAGACGGGGGACATCGCAGCAGGCGTCTTGCGTGAGTCTTTAGCTTTAGCTTCACTCTGGCTGTTTAACAAGAGAGAAACAAGCAAAGAGATGAATACATTCATTCAATCCAGTTTAATTTGTTTCATGATTTCATTTTATTTATTATATATATATATATATATATATATATATATATATATATATATATATTATTATATATATAACAAGAGGATTATCATTTTGAGTGCCTTTCTGATGCTTGCACTGGCTTTAATCATTTGGCGCGTTGGAAAACCTTCTCAGAATGCATCACGGAAATAATTTTGCATCAATTAGAGGAAATTTCAACCTCATCCAGCTCTCAGAGGAGTTCACACAAGTGTAGATGAAAACAGACACCGAGTGTATATCCAAATTAACAACAAAACAAACAACTCTTCTAGTAAATCACGCTATACTTTTCAGACATTTTTTTAACTGTGCTGCTGTACTTATTGGCGATTAAAACATGGTGTCCTGGGGTTGACATGTTTTAATTTCATGGAAAAAGAATGAACAATAGAACATTGTAACATATGACAGAATACGTCACGTTTCCTCCACAGGCTATCCCGGATCGCCAGCACCACCACAAGTGGTCAGCGCCTTAAAAGATTGCATCAATCTGGCTTGGTGTCCTCCATGTGACACTGGAGGAACCACTATTGTGGGATACAACTTGGAAAAGAACAAGAAAGGCACAAATTACTGGAGCCTTGTAAATCCACAGGGGCCCATTACAGGTATCCAACTCCTATGGTTGCAAGCTACAGAATAACCAGTGTGAATATTAATGGATACTAATGATGGGAATCTTCACTTGCCTCAGAGAACGGTTTTATTCAGAAAGAGCTTTTAAAAATCTGAGCACATCTTTTTAATACCAGTATTTGTGTTAACCACCGCAGTACATTAGACATAGGACATTAGTAGTTTTGTGATGCTTGTCCTTTCAGCCAGCATGTACGTTTTTTCAGCCCAACATTGTTGAAACGGGGCATATAATGTTGGTGGCCAGAGCAACAAGTTAGCGGACTGCAGAGTGCTGTGTTTCAAAACAGATCAGAGGCGATCGGAGAGAAACGAGTGCTACATTTAATGAACGCAAAACGCAGCTCAACTCAAACTGAGTAAAAAATTAAAACGAATATGTTCTGCCACTGAATTGATGCAGAATTGTTGTCAGCATCACGATGCAGCAGAATTGAGAAATATACATCCAACGCACTCGCCGACAGAATTAAACAATATTTGTAGTATTATGACAAAAAAAAAAATTCTTTTTCCACAGATACAAAGTATGCAGTGACTGATGTTTTTGAAGGGGCAGCATATGAATTTAGGGTGTCTGCTATCAACCTATCTGGTGCTGGAGATCCTAGTAACCCGTGTGACACAGTGATCGCAAGAGATCCAATGAGTAAGCCGGTCGCACTGGATTCTTGTCCCCTATTGTCGTTGTCTCCACTATTCATGCATCACGCTGTCTGTACCTCTCTGTTCAACAAGCATGGAGACGTTGAGTCGATAATCTCCCTCAATAACTTCTACATTTTCAGAACCTCCAGGCAAAGTCAGAGACCTGAAGTTAACATCCTCCAATTATAGCAGCTTTTCACTGGCTTGGACTAAACCTAAAGAAATTAAAGGGGTGGAGGATGAAGCCCAAGGCTACTATGTGGAGATCAGACCAATAGAAAACATTGAATGGAGCCGTTGTAATGCCAACCCAGTTACTCTAACCTCCTACACCGTGCTTGGCTTGAAGGCAATGGCCTGCTACTGGGTGAGAGCCATTGCCACAAATTATGGAGGCGATGGAGAACCTCAAGGATTTGACACTTATGTCATTGCCATGCCTCCTCCTGGTAAGATTATTTGTCCACATGGTGTGTCCATTCCGGGCTACTGTAGAAACACAAAACGTTTGCTTCAACTGAATGCACAATACAATACAGCGCAGACAATCAAGAAGGAAATCCAAGAATGAGAAGATGATCTTAAGAAAGATGTAAGGCTAACGCTCTTGTATAGTTACGAGAATCTGAACATTTATATTCCAATCTCTGCCCTTCACAGTAAGGCCAAAGTTTAAAGATCGCAACATGAAGAACTTTGTAGTGGTACGATCCGGGAACACGGTCTGTCTGAATGTCAACTTTGAGGTATCGTGCAAGACGTTGTCCTCCTAAAATATTACCTGTGAAGGTATATAATCCAAATAGCAAATGTGTATTTTACCATACCAACCACAGGCCTCCCCGCTGCCACACGTCTTGTGGCTAAAGGATGGAACTCCAGTGCCGAGACATGTAACTATTACCAACTCTGATAAAGGTTCTCTCATGTTGATCACCACATCCGAGCGGTCTGACAGTGGCATCTACACCATTACTGTCAAAAACATTGTGGGCCAGGAGAGCATCAATGTTGAAATCAGAGTCACAGGTGAATCTTGGTTTACATTGCAATGAACTGAAGAACCTTGCCGGGATTTGCACGATCTGTTTGTTGCAAAGTAGATACGCTTTTGTAACTTGACCCATGATGTCTCTGTAAATCTGGATTTAGATGATCCAAAACCTCCAGGTCCAGTGGAGCTGGATCAGAACATCCCAGGAACAGTGACTCTGTCCTGGATGTCCTCTCCAGACGAGACGAGGGATGACCGACTCCACTACATGGTGTCCAAGCGTGATTCCTTCCGTTGCACTTGGAGGACAGTGGCTGACAACCTCTTCAACAATAAGTTCACAGTTGTCAATATTTTGCCTGGACGGGAGTATTACTTCAGGGTGTTTGCTAAGAATGACATGGGTCTTTCTCCACCTTCCGAGGCCCCTGTGTTTGGAACCATGAAGCAAAAAGGTTGGATTCCTGGGCTGAATCACACAAGACAAATGAATCCATTCTCAGCTACCTCTACTCACTGAATGGTGTTTGCTCAGCCAAAGTACCAATTCTGGTTCCTGAAGAGGTTTCCTCAGGATAACACTTAGATTCTAACTTGACCTTTTGTTGTATAATCATATTAAGAATATATATAACAACAAAGCATGGCCTGGAGGCTGTCTAAAACACTGTATTTAGAAATGGAATATACTCCACCTCGAATAATTACGGCTGAATATGTAACCCTAAACTTTGCGTGTCTTTTTGTTCCAGGAAAGTTCCAAGTTGACAGGCCTGAAACAAAACCCCTTGACTTCCAGTCACAACCATCATTCCTCGTTCCCCTGAAAGCGCGCACGGCTCCACAGGGTTACGAGAGCCACATGAGCTGCGCAGTCAGGGGGGATCCGGCTCCCCGAGTGACGTGGTACCACAACAATATCAGCCTGAGCACAAACACCAACTACCACATCCGCAACGTGTGTGGCGTGTGCTCTTTGCTCATACTGACGGTGGGACCCAAAGACTACGGGGAATACAAAGTGGTCATTGAGAACAAACTGGGGACAGCAGACTCCTTAATGACACTGATTGTCAGAGGTATTGACATTTAACGGAGGTTTAAATTAGTAGTTTCAACCCTGATGAGACATTTGAGTGAGCAGTCAGTAAATGAATCAAACTGAGTGTCAGTATTTTCCTTTTTTTTTTCAGAATGAAGAAGAGTTGCAGCTGAGCACAAGATTTCGAGTGTGTTTTAAACCAATTAACCAAGAGATGCAGTGACAACTCCTGCTTGTTTTACTTACTTCATTTCCAGCGAGTGTGATGTACCAGTATTTAAACACATATCTTTAGAAAGCGCCCTAAAAAAAACGTGTGTGTTTTGGGAATATATTCTACTATTAAACTTGCGGCTATTTCACCGTTGTGCTTGTATTTACTGAAGGTGAGTTCAAATACACTGCAGAGTTACAGTCACTTAACACTATGCAACTATTGACCACTTTGAATCCCTGGGCTAATGTTGAGTTCGGATCTGATGCATGACTCCCGTCAGGTCACACACAAGCCCTTTTTGCAGCCTGTGCTAAATTTAAAGAACATCATTGTGGAGAGAGACTGTGGATCTTTTCTATGATCCTGTATCTGTGAGTACACAACTGTTGCTGCTATTGTTGGGGCCTTAGATTAAGTTGTCAGCCCAAGGTACTGGGGTTCTTGCCCTGTACACCGCAGTCAGGTAACTTCTGGAACCCAAAGGTAACATGGTGCAGTTTCCTGCCAGCGGTTACACGCCATTGGTTGGTTTGTAAAATGACAGCGGTCAGTGACTTTCAACCTACAAGCTACAACCTGAGCTGCTGTAAATAAGAAGCGGCACCAGACGCAGGAAAGTCAATTTACTCCAATGCTCTGCCTGAGTTTTGAGCTACTTGGTATGTGATTCAGTGATTTAATGTCCTTATCAAATTTGACTTGCATTTCAGAGTGAAATCTTGACATGTTTATTTACCTACAATTAACCAACAATTAATTAACAGTCAATGGGGCAGTTAAATGTCATGCATTCCACACATTCTTTACCTTACTGGATGACTTGCACAGATTGGAGTCAGCCTGGGTTGCTTTTGAATGAAAGTAAATGCATCCGTTGGTAAGCAAGGCTCGCTAATTAGCATCAGCATTCGTTTTCCGTTAGCTCCCGCGGTCGACCGCGCACGCGTGACATGACGTCATCTTTTTAAAAGATTTTTTATCAATGGCAGGCGATCTACTGGCACAGTCGATCGCGATCGACCCATTGGACACTGCTCTAGGCCATGTTCAATAGCCGTGTGGTGGAGTTCGAGGCTGGAGGTCGCAGGGGGCATTTTTCAGCTCCAGCTCAGCGCTGGGTGAAGATGTGGCTGGTTTAACCGGTTCTGTGGTCAGTGCATAGTCCAAGGTTGACGATCAGGTTAGGTCTGTGGAGGCTCTTAATGCTCATTTGCAGGGGAAAGCCTCAGACACCAATGAGCTGAAAGAGTCAAAGTACCTTCATAAAAGATGCACTTCATACAAACCACCAGGAGATGGCTGCAATGAAGTGAGCTCAGTCTGATTTAGCTGCTCCTATTCCTTAATAATACAGTCTACCGAGTTTCCACGGAACAGTTCATTTGTATTTTTTTGTGTAGGGTTAGGGTTGGGGTTAGGGTTAGGGTTAGGGTTAGGTGATTTTCATGGAGCTCTTTGCAGGCACACTTTCTTGCAAATCATTTTGCCTGTTTTTGACATAGAAATAACTTTTCATTTTATAAATTTAAATTGACAGCACGATTTCTGATTGTTAGTCAAATATTTAATCTTAGGAAATTAGGAAACTTTAGGAAGGTGTTCATTTCTCAAATGTGAAAATGGATTTACAATCTCTGTTAATGCAGAAGATTACTGCTGGAAATTACAGTTTATGTGAAGTGATTTCAACAAACTTACCGTCACACTTTGATATAATAATTTGAAATGAAATTAACTGTAATATCTGTTTACGCATGATGAAATTAGAGTTTGAGAGTACAAAATGTTTTTTGCAACGTGGCAGAACATGAATGAACTAAATATGTAGTGCTTCTTTCAGTGAAGTCAGGAACAAATAACAAAACGAGGTCAAGTTAATGTAGAACATACCAGGCGTCCCTAAAACCTAAAAAGGAGTTTTATCTGCTGAATGTTAATAACATCATTTTTGTATCTTTAAAATTGTAATGATCTCAAACTGTGGCTAAAATACAGTTAAGAGAAAGAAGAAGGACCAGCTCTCTATGTAGATAACCAGCCGCCATCGGACTCCGGAGCTGTACGTTAAGCTGCAACAGCCGCATCACCATGACAACTGACAAAAATTGCCCTTTTTGTTATTACTATTCATGACCAGTGAAAGACATTCAATGTCAGTTTAACCGACTCATTTTCTGGGAAAAGAATCCCTCTACCTAAAAGAGATTTCTCCTGCATGCGCTCATCAGTCTCACCACAGGAAAGGACATTTTTTAAACTATTCATCTGATTTAATTCTCCCATTAGTTTGCAGCAGGTGCAGGACGGGGATCGCTATGACAACCAACTTGGACTTAGGCTGGAAACAATCAGAAGCAAACTGAGACACGGAAGTGTAGATGTGGTGCGTTATCACACCACCTGAGACCAGGCGTCATGTTGCCAACATTCATGTTTAACATGACGACATCGTTGGTGTGAAACTGTGCAATGTAAGCTACTGTCTTTGAAATATGGGACGCGTTCCATGAGGATTCACTGAACGTGAGCAACCCAGATAGCACTTCCTTTTTAGGAGAATAAATTGCAAACCAATGACCTGTGCTAACATAACGAACGCAACTGTGTCACGTCACATAATCAGAAAGGCATGTTAACTGCTCTTAACTGTCAACACATGCGGCCTGCGGCTGGATCGAATTAAAACAACAGGTCTTACCCTGAACACAGTATATCTGTGGTGCCTCTGACCAACCTGTTCTATTGCGTGCGCACACACACACACACACACACACGTGTTCTTGTCCAACTCACTTCTACTTCCTGTAGCTTTTAGCAATTGTTTTCAGTTGAGGAGTTATTACTTTTAACTGTATATTTTCCAGTGGTGGAATGGAAATAAGCACAATTACTCCATTACTGTGCTTAAGTGCATTCTCATGAACAACTGATTTCCTGTTTCCTGCTACTTAATATGTTTACTCACGATGAGTTATTTTACTGTTGGTACTCTGGGCACACTGATGGATTCTTACTTGTGACAAAGTAGTTTGGTTGTTGTTGTGCAAAATAACTGACTGCTTTGTTCTCTTTACAAAAATGATCTCACTTATGTTTAATGCAAAGGGAGGAACTCTTAGAATAACAACACTGTCCTGCGCAATACACGTGCTCGGGTGTATAATGCACACATTATGTGAACGGCTTTCACATTTGTATCCACAGAAACCCCTCGCAAAACATTAAGACTATAGTGCTGCTTTACTTTTGAGATTCTAGGCTGAATGGCCGAGTCCCTCGAGAGTCCTTGTGAACAATGCTGCTGTCAGATCCTTGTGTCCACTCTCTCTCTCTCTCACACACACACACACACACACTTTACAGCCCGCCTACTCCCAAGTCCCCTCACTTCCTCCACAGCTCACATATTCAACATCTCTACCATCACATGAAGATCTCACTTGAACTCATAGAATTTAATACCCGTAGGTGGATTAGAAGTAGATCCTTCCACATTGTTCGAGACTAAAACAGTGGGGGGGGGGAGAAAAAAAAACTTTTCGGAGGTAGCTTGGACCAGATTACATCTGCATGCGGAGGCCACCCGCTTCGAGAGCGATGTCATCTCTACTTTCTCACAGCAAGGAACAGCCGCGCATCCGAAAGTCTCTGTCTGACTCCTCTCCAGCTTCGTCCCCGGCCACCGGCAAGAGCCTGAGGGTAAGGCCGGAGCGTCTTCAATCTATCCCACGTCCATTTGGTTGGAGGAAATGCCGCGGCTGACAAAAGGCAACACCGACGTTAAAGTCAATTCACGGTCAAGCGCGCGCATCTCTTAACCAGCCACAGACGCTGTGAGACACATAACCTGAGAAGTTACGGCGTTGTTTACACAGGACAGCTGTTGGAATGCGACTTTTCATATGTCCTCCAGTTCCTTTTTAGTATTGCAATAATAATTTATTTAATTTATATTAAGCCTCGATCGAGAAAACATGTGTAGAAGCAGGATTTCTCAAGAGATGTAATCAGTGACTTTTCAAGCTTTGCAATTTTATTCATTTATTTGGCAGCTATTAGTGCAAATCATAAACAAACAATTAAAGACTGCGTTGAACCCATTTGCATCTCGGTCCCCTAAGCCACCCCATAATAAAGACGTATCTCTTGTAACACTAATGACGTTCTCCTAATGCCTTGTAATGACTGTCAAATCCATGTCGACGTGCACGGAGGAACAAAACGTGTTAAGTGAAACCAAAGAAAAGTTGTAACAAGCCGATAGTCTTATCCGTGCAATCCACTTGGGAAAGATTAATGGAGAAACAGAGAGAGAGAGAGAGAAAGGGAACAGGGGGGGGTGAAAGACAGGATGAAGGGGAACAGAGAGGAGGAGGAGGAGGAGGAGGAATAGAGCACTTAGGACTGGCCTGTGGGAACTCAAGACGCAGTATTTATGGATGTTTATCTCTCTGCTGGTCCTACGGGAAGCTCATATTTTCCACTCGGGAATAGCTGGTCAGCAAGCTAGAAGTTCCTCCACTGCTCCAGAAAGGCCGGAGGAGAGCTTAGTGGGAGAGTCGCTTCCACGACACACACACACACACACACACACACACACACACACACACACAAGGGCCCGTGTTTCCATCAGCATCTGTTTATAAGTGCTGTCCCTTAATCTAAACCAGAGCTTTTTCCAAGTACTGTATATCATTAATTGCCGTTTACAGAGCACGTCCAAGTGTCCGGAGAGCGTCTTAAAGGAGCTGACATCAGAGCCTGGGGAAGATCCAGAGACCTTGTTAACGTCTGAGCGGAGGCGTATCGCCGTGTTTACACACACTGTCTGTGACCGAAAGCCCCGTTTCTTCTTACAGTAAATAAATAAATAAACCAATGTGTGACGGTTCACCAGCTCGCTTTTTGATTTAGTGTGACAATTAGGCTCGGGGTCTAAAATAATACACTACAGTGCAGAAAGGAGCCTTGCGTGTTGTTTTAACAGTTGTGTAAGCAGCAACATGTATTTCAGTGCGTCATTATCGTGATATATGCGGGGCTGCATGATGACCTCTTGGTTAACACATATTACATGTCTGGCATTAGCGAATGTAATTAAATGTGAAAGGGACCGTCCTATTAGCTTTTAGTATGATTGATAGCAGAACATTTGAAGATGAAGGGGGCGAGTTCAGCCGGTTCAGAGAGGATATGTTGCAACACTTCTATGTAAAGCGCTAACAAAGTGCTGGTCTACAGCGAGGCTTGTTGTCCTAAGGCAGAGCTAACGTCACTTCTAACGTTAGCGAGTTAACATGCCCGCCATGACAACGCTAACAACGTGATGCTAATTAGCACCAAACGCTGCAACATGCAGCCTCCTTGAAAATGTATTTGTTAAATGCTGAAAGCAAACACAATCCTTCTCAAAATGTTTGCGTACTAACTTATGTATGTAATCAAACCAAAAAGAATCCAAAATAAAAATGTAAGGCGCTTTTCGGACCACATGTTGGCCATCATCATCAAAAGCACTAAATAAGGAGATGTGTTTTGCGGGAATAGCGTTCTATTCCACGGTGGCTCAATAAAACACTTTATGTTACCTTAATTGCAGTCTTCAGGCTACAATGTGTCTCCTTTTAAAGGAGTCTATATCGCTTTGGTGTTGTTCTGTTCGTCCCCGATGGAGAAACTCTCTCTCCGGAAACCCTGCAACCCTTCAACTTCAGCAAGCAAAAACGAACACATTGCAGAAGCCACTGCCAGATCTATTACCTTTTTTGGATGTGTTTAGTTATCTCTGCTTGTCATTTCAGAGATCACTTCCTCTCTCCTTCTTTGACTCGGCTTGGTATTTCAGGCTGCCATAAACCTTTTCTTGGAAAACTGGAAAAAAGAAAAAAGTCTTTCATGGAGGAATTCCTGCTTGGTCATGTCACTTCAAAAGGACCACAGAGCTTTGCCTTCTAGATCTATTGATCCTGAATGTACATGTTGCATTGTACATGTCATGAAATATGTCCTGTGTGCGTTCCAAGTGCCTGTTTGGGGGGGAATGGTACAAAGCACAACCTCGTTTGCGGATTGCTTCATAAATCTCAAATCGTGAGCCGAACAGCCTGTCAAACAAGTGATGAAGTCAAGCTGTGTGACGTTGTTATTCGTGAAGTAACGAGCATCTAGAGGGCCGCTCGTGATGTGGTTGAATGACTTTAATGTTCATGCCGTTGTAACATTTCAGTTGACACTAAGCTAATCAGGAATGTCCTTCTAAAAATAACATTGTGGTTGTTGCATTTTTCTACTTGCCGGTTCTAAAACATTTCTCCTCTCTTTCAGCACGAGACACTGTCTCGGTAAGAAACGCTTATTCACACCATTGATGCACCAAAGACATTCGATACCGCCAGTGTTGAATAATGATACCTGTGTGTTTCAGACTGAGCTCGTCTGGATCCTCGGACGTTTCCAACGACACGTCAACAAACCACGCTGAGTCCTACTTCCTCCGACGAGAGAACAGACTCTCTGCGAGGAAAAGGGCAGAGGAGGAGTCAGCAAACAATGACTATAAAAAGGCAGGTGATTTGCTTGGTGATAGTACTCGGTGACCGGTGCTTTGGTGCTGAACTAAAGAACAAAATAAATAGACAGTTAACACTTTGAGGATCTGCGTTTAAACCCAAACGAGGGTCTTCAGCAAGATTGTCCACATGGTGTTTTACAGAGGGCTAAAAACACCTGGTGTCAATACACCACAAGATGGCCGAGCTTTAGTCAATTATCCAATGAGAATTTCCGGCCGGCAGGTAGAGGATGTTGCACCGCCGACACAGATTTCAAAATAAAAGTGCACAACAAAGTGTTACGTAAACAAAAAAGTGACTTGTTGTTTAATGAGATGCTCCACAGAAAAAAGTTTTGTGTCCATGATTCCAATTATTTTCATGTAATTTCAGTATCATTGAGTTTTCAGATTGTTAGTATTTTTCCTATTTTTTGACTTTTTATAGACTATCAAGATCTCAAATCAAATGTCATCAACAAGGTCAAGTCCTGGACCTACTTGAACACTTGCATCCACCCCCCTAGACAATCACAGACATTTGGATTTCCCACCACAACACTTCACTTCAAATATACACTTGACACTTTGACAACATACTTATTTCAAGCTCCTATGAAATTGTTTATTGCTTCAATCTACTATAACGCACCATGTTGACTCATGCTCCATGATGAAGATAAATATTAGTTTCATATTAACCGCTAAAACTACCACACAAACCCTCAGCTGTTAAACCTCAATGTTTGCTAGTAGATCAAATGCTTTCTATTTGCTAACACGTTCGTGTCTTGTAGATGTATGAAAAAGCACTCGCCACCAATCAAAGGCTGAAGTCTCGGCTGGAAACGAGTAGACAGGAACTGGCCATGATTCAGGACCAGCTGCAGAGAGCGCAGGTACAGCGCACGCAGTAAATGTTCATATCGGGTAATGTGGTAAATGTGACATGACAGATAGCAGTTGTGCAAGAAGTCTTTTTGTTTAACTGTGTCCTATTTGAGACACTGTTATGAAAATGTAGCACCGGCGATGGTACAGCTCAAAGGCTTCATTCTCTAATCTTTTCATAATGACCTTTTATTGATTCCGAAGGGAAGAGCGGGGGATTGTGGCTCGAACGTGCTTGAGGCAGAAAAGAAGGTACAAACTCAGGGCGACACTTTGTATTCACTTTACAGTGTTTGTCTCACCTTGTGCGCTGATGACTTTGTTGCATTTTCCCCTCAAAAGGAAAGTCACATTCTACAAAAGACGATAGCGGACATGGAAGAACAGTTAAAGGTAATTCAGATATTCTACAAATGGTCATTTACATCCATTTAAATGGATCTGATTTTATTTTTTATATTTTCACGAGGGAAAACAAAGAACAATGACATCCAAACCGTGTAAAGTGGAGCGGAGGTGTTAGCTGCGGTGTCTGCGCTGGTTTTGGCTGACATCATATGTCACCACTATGCTCCGCTGCCTGTGGAATGTGTGAGTGTTTTGACTCTGCAGCGAGCGAGGCAAACGTATTCATCCGTAGTCCCAACGCTCGCAGATCGTCTGCTGCGTTTGGCCCAAGAGGATGCAAAACAAAAAAACTCTTGTTATCTGTGAATAAGAGGTCTAAGCAAACACGGGGGGCTGGATGGAGAAAAACAGAGAAGCACTGTTGCTTTGTGTATTTAAATGAGCAAGTCGGTTCCAGTTGTGTTCAGGGATTGTGTTTGTTAGTGTACATGGGCGATCGGTTTGTTCCAAAGGGCCCAGATTCCTTCAGACCAGATAAATCATTCTGGATTGAGGGAAACTAAAGGCAAAATGAGGCTTCAGCAGTCCGTGTTAGACAAACTGAGCCGGTCGTCCAAAGTCACACAAAGGCCTGTTCTTCGTTGCATTTCTCCAAAGATATGTATATTTTACACCTGTGCCCATTGTCTCGCGCTCTTTCTCCAGGTTAAAGGAGAGCTGAAGATGGAAAACCAGCGACTGAAGGACGAGAATGGAGCTTTAATCCGGGTGATCACTAAACTTTCCAAGTGAAATGGGAAACAGGAAAGATAAGCTGGAGAGACACCACAAGCCATTCCCATCCCGGCCTTCGTCTTACCGTTCCTCTGACAGAACGTTAGTTCAGAGTTTTCTAGTAGTGTTGGACACTTTAGTCTGTTGAGTAACTAACATTTGCAGGAAAGAAGACACATTTTACATCGGCTGCGAGAGCTTCATGTCACTGTACTGTATCTAAAGTAGTATTCCATGGCAGAAAATATTTGAGATTTAAATTAATATTGTATATTCATAACATATTTCTACATAAAGGCAAATGCCAACACAACCTTTTTGAGTTTTTCTGTGTCAACATGAGCATTTATAAAACTGCGTCATCATCTCAAAAAGGTCCCTCTGTAAATAAATGAAGAAAAATATTGCAGATTTTTCTACCTTGGTATTAACATCGAAACTGCAATTCATTTTAAGAATAAAGAATAATCTTAAGAAAGAATTTTTCAGGAGCACTGGGAGAGTCTCCGAATCAAGAACTTCACTTAGCATAGAGAGGATTTTCCTCTTCCCCTGCAATAAAATATAATATTAAAAAACGAATTTCATCAAATGTCGTGAAGAGTTTTAAAAAAATGCCTTGCCTCATAACTAAATTGTACAGCCTTTAAAAGTACAGTATCATAAGTAATGAAAATTCACAAAACAAACTCATCTCAAGGGTACATTCAGCAGCTGTTCTGGAGCTGTCAGAAACGAAGACATCTGCTTCATCAGGAGATGTTGAGATGGAAAGAATGAGGTTGTTTTGTCAGCTGTGGTTTACAAGATCGGAAGGGAATTTGGAACCTTGGCTTCCACACGGCTGTCAACATGGCGACAGCCGAGCCGACGGCCCCGGCAGCTAACGCAGCTAATGCTGCTATGCTATGCTACGCTATCAATGTTTACCTGAGGGGGAACCAGATGTTGGGCGTTGCGGCAGCCTGAGTGACCTGTGGGGAGCAACGGAGGGAAGTGCACGTAAGGAGCACAATGCCAACCCGGTTCGGTCAACAAAAGCGAAGCAAGCAGAAAAACTGAGACACGTCAACTGCTGTTTTGAATGTCAGTAAGGAACTTTGAACATAAAGTACCAGATGCAAACGTCCCAATGAAATAAAAGGGAATTCCCCATTAGTCGAATTTGATCATCACAAATTATAGCTAATTTTCTTGTAGAAGCACAACTTGGGCCCTAATTAATCTTCTGATTTGAGCCCATTTATAGTGCTGCATTCACGGAAACCTGCCATATCATATTTAAATTGAAATATTATTATAGCAGCGATCATTTGACCAACTGTCTAAAATGTGTTTGCACTTTTCCCATGGAGCAAAAGATGAGTCCCAAAACCAGATTAACACAAACTTCAGTTGAGCATCACAGTTCTGCAACGTTCTGCAGATGTGCCACATTTTGTTTAGTTTGTCATCCATGTTGAGTCGTTCCATTTATGTAACATCAGAGAAGTGGCCATAAAATGTGCCACTCAGCACTCTTCAAAGTAGTTTCCTTTGGCTGAATATGATGCCACCCACTGACCGAAAGCTATAAAGCACCCTCTGGTCCATTTACACACCACACAGGACAAGTCTACTTAAAATGCCTTTATTTCCTATGGTTACACTTTCACAACACACAGATACGCCCTGACCACACCCCATATTTTGGATTTCCTTGAGTAATTCAGTTTTGTGGTCTTTTTGTTCCCCTTTTTTTTTTTGCTGGAAAACATGAATTTTGTATGGAAATAAACCATGCAGATCACATAAAGGCACAACTATTGACACACCTCTACAACAAGACAAAGACAAGCGTCGAGAGAGACGTCCGAGCATTTCCCTTGTCTCTGTTGCTCAGAAAGTGAATGCCAGGATGATGATCGTCAGGTCTTTGGGGGCGTTTCGCACAGGACGACTAAAGAGGAACCGTTATTGAAGCAGCAGGCTGGCAGTATTGCATCGTGAAGGAGGTTCTGCTCTGGTTGGCTTTGCTCTGTGCTCAGCTAGCCTGTGAGACCCGGGAAGACGGGGATTTTGTTGTTGCCCGCATTGCAGAAAGGTGACAGACTCATACAGTCCATTAACAGAACACCAGTAAACAAGTACGGGCTCTGTTGGTCCTCTGGCAAATGCACAAAACTAAGACAGAATCCGATGGCAGCTCGTATGCACGTGAATGAGAGAGTTTATTAAATGAACCGATGACCTCAGACACACTGTGGGAAAGAATAAGGAAGCACACTGATTGTGTGTGCTACTTGCTTCTCTCAGCCCCTCAAACGTAGAGATAACTACATTATAGTCTGTAAGATAGACATAATTGTTCATCTCCATGCACTTGCAGGTTGTAAATGACGGTTAAATGACAGTGACAACCCCCCCACACACACACACACACACACATTTTAAACAAAACCTCCCCACATTAAAGATGCAACGGTAACACACAGCATCGGAGCATGTGACAGTTACACAAAACCATCCTGTTGCAATCCATCAAACTCTGTTCAGTCATGAGGTTACAGTCGGAATGAAAAGATTATTGATTGCTTTATTACATGACTGGACCTCCTCTGCATCAATAGTATGTAGCAGTGATATTTCACAGAACTAATCCAGCAAAGCCATGTTTAAAGAAAAACTAGAATAAACTAAGATGACATTCAAAATAAAGTTTTGTTTAATTTATATTCAAATTACTGACTCATTTCCTATGGTGAAAAGTCTAATTAAACAGGATGGAAGGTTTATTTGAATAGCAATAAGATGTGACGGTACTGTTTGATGAAGTACGGATGGAAAAAAAGGGCTAAAAGTCAAATAAATCATCCAATGTGTCTACATTTAATAAACTTTCAAAGATCTGACACCCATTTGGCAGGAGCAAAAGAAGCAAACACTTCAAGGAGCCGCTAAATATTCTCCTTTTTTAAAATATATACGGTTCACTGGTCAGTGACCAACACATACTGTTTGCGAAGTCCAAGCAGAAATGACTAATAATTACACAACTTGTAGCCCAAGCATCGTAACACAGAGGACGAACCGGGACAGAAAACGACAATCGTGCAGAATTTTTGCAAACGGAGCGGATAAACAAAGCAACCCTGCTTCTATCTCGGGCATTAAAGGGAGCCTGTGAAACCTAACATGGATTATTCAGACACACATCCAGACACATTCAGCAAAAATACATACTCTTTGCAGTCAGTGCATACTCTTTTTTTTTTTCTTCTGTTTTTTTTTACTCCGTTTTATTATCAAAAGTGACACAGAACACAAACACACATACACGTTATAATTATGGTTCCTCGTTAAGTCATGCTACTATTTACATCATCTTGTGAGTACATGCTGTAGCCTATTAACAAATTTGCGTGATGCATAATGTCAACATTGGGGAGATGTAGTACTGTGCGTGACCCTGTCAGTGTGCGGCAGAATGTTTTTTACTATAGGTGACTATATATACGGCCTACTGTTGAAACAAATAAGGCTGTAATGATTTGAGTTAACTGAAACTTAACACCTAATTCTCAAATGCAATGACTATCGATACTGAAAATTGAAATTTATGAACCAAAGGAATGAAAGAATTTAAATATTTCACTTTGAAAATGAATTCAATAAACCCAGTTGGTTTGAATTTAGTTATGAAAAGTCATTTTTTTCATTTTCATTCTCAGAAGTTCTGATAGATGATATTGTAAGTTGTCCTCTTAGAATTTCGCATCTGAATGAGCTTCAACCGTGAGATCAAAGATCAGCAATGATCAAGCAACCCGTTAATGGTTGAAGACAACGACAACAAATAAAATCTTAAAAGTTTGAAGGTGAGGCATTGAAATGAGTTCTTCAAAGTAAAATGTTTGAATGCTATGAACTCTGTGGTAATAAAATTAGACCTGTGCACGTCTGTCTAACACTCTGTGTGAAGAACACCGTAACGCTGCAGCACTTTGACTCCGACGAGTGAGCGATCTAAACAACATGAAATACTGCGAGGCATGATACATGCTGGATTGTGCAGCTCTATTTGGTTCAAGCTAAACGGTGCAAGACACGTTTCTTGTATTATATGCTTTGATGGAACACTTGCCCTGTTGAGATTCATACAAACCTGCCGTTTCTTACTTTGAATTCTTCTTCTCTGAAAAAGCTTAGCTACATTTTATATTTCAAATTGAGTTCTCTATAAAAAGGACCTTTTCTTTGACAGAAATCCTTCTGCTGTCTCACCAGAAACTTTTACAGTATCGAAGTGGACCGCAGTATGTTTACTAAACTATAGCAACCGTCCAGGGAAGACGGGTAGTCTGCAAATGGGTATCAAAACAAAAAAAAGGGATAGATGGAACTGTTTCTATGGAGGAAGAGCAAAATGTAAAAGAAGCATAGTTATGATTGGTTTAAACATCATCGTTAAGCCTTTCCGGTTTTACATCCAAGTGGTCAACACAGCCCAAGACAGATTCCAGATTGGAACATTCACAGTGTCCCTGACTACTTTTGAATGACTTCCAAAAGTTTCACATTAAAATAAAAAACAACGAAGCTTAGACTATTTCTCAAAGTGTCATATCAGGAAAGGCACCCTTGTATTCCTGTCTTAGATTGGATCTGCGTGAGGACACAGACGTGTGTGTTGAGCCTAAATGCATAGATGTGCCTTCGTGGCAACACAAAACAAGCAACTTAAATCAACTATTCCATATTGTATTCTACTGAGCTGACTGAACCAAGACAAGCATTTATGCAGATGCATTTTGAAAGTGACCTTGACCTCATTCATTCTCAATTAAATATTTTTGCATTAATAGACTTAAACAGACTCTATTGCAGGAAATAACCCAACACTACAGTACTTTCTATTGCAAGTTATAGCACACTTATTAGCAAGATACAATACCGGCGTGGTGTGTGCAGAGCAGCGGGGAGGTAAGTAAAGCATGCCCTATAAACTAAAGCTTTATTTCCAGCTTTGTCTTCACCAAGACTTTCGTTGAGTGTCAGCACCCTAAGAATCAGTTTCTCAGTTTCTTCAAATGAAAGAACGACCGCCAGTCGATCATTCATGAACCAGTCACCCAAAACTCAACGGCATTCTCTCCAGCAAACACCAATGTGTGCTTAAAAATAGTTTTTTTCGACTTAACAGTTAATGAGGGGATATTCTAGGATGTCTCTTTTTTGCTGAGCAGGTTTCATGACGAGCAGTCACGTGTTAAGTCATGGTTTTTCATGCAAAGTAGAGGGCGGGGTTTGGATTTCTGAGTTAGTGCATCGGTTGGTTGGTGGAGCACGTTACTTCTTTGCATTCAAGGACGCCAGCTGACCATCTATATCCTCCTCAGGCTGCAATGGATGCCACTGGGCGATGGGGCGGCGCGGATTGGACAGCATGTCGGACCAGTGCTTCAGACCGAGGCCAGACGCCTTGCTGCCCACGAAGATCTTTCCAATGGCGTCGTTCTTGCCGATCTTGTCATAATCAAACACTGTGACCGCCACTAAGATTTTCTACGAAGGGGACAAGGGAGAATGTGTAACTTCTTATAGAGAGTCCTTTCAATATGCTTGTAAATCACTACATATTACATGTACATACCTGCATCTGTTCCAGTGGGATTTCGAAGCTGAAGGATTCATTGTAGTAAGGGTTCAGGGTGTTCTTCTTCACTGTCGTCTTCTTTTTCTTCAGACGCTTACCCCCCTGCAGGAGCTGGATCTTGACATAAGGATCTGAAAAGGGTATCAATATGATCAGCAATGAAAAACATGAGGTTATTGTAATGTTATTGCTGCATCCTGGTATCTCTAGCTGTTCCAAGGCTGCAATAAGCCAACTTAAGCCAATTTCTTGTTTTCCGGGTCTTCGGCCACAAGTTGCAAGCTTAACAGCATTTAACATTGTAGTTGTTTGAAAGCTGGTGTATCAGATACCAATTGGCACAGACCAGCTGTCGGTATTTAACAATTTGGGAGTGAGAATGTCTGACTTTTATTGAAAAAGGGTTGGAAACATTGGGCTGGATCAATATAAAAAATGTTCTTGTTAGTTTTAATATTTTTTAATATGTTGAAATTGTTCAGAGCATTCTCTTCTCCATGTTTTGATGCTTAAGGCTTGTAACTGTTTTATGTACGTAGGCATTGATCCTTTCAAAGGCGAAATCATGTGTTTTCAAACATGTAACTTTTCTCTACCAGATAATCCACAGGCGTCCATCTTCTTCAAGTTCTTTGCCTCCAGGATGCAGACGGTGAGTTTCCCGGCGGTGGGGACGTAACGGAGGGAGATGCAGATGTCTCCGAGTTTCTCAGGCTAATCAGTCAGCACAGAGAGACGGGACAGAAATGACATCATCATCTGCCGACAACCGCAAACTGAAGACGATGATGGACATACTTGCCTAATATAACACTGGTGCTTACAATGAAATCTATAGAAACTAATGAGATTATGCTTGTTGGTAATAAATAAATCAATAAATCAGCACAGTTTTTAAAAGCAAAATATTGAAAGTTTAGTGGTAACAGCACCTCCTCTTGATCGGCGCTCTCCAGATCCTTCCACTCCTCAATCGGTCGTCCGAGGTCGATGGTGTTCATGGGAATCTTGACCTCTCCGATGACGTCATGTTTGGAAAATCGGTCATAGTCATAGACAGACATGGACAGAATCTTCCCACCGAGCTCCTCGTAGGGCACCTGATTGACATACACAACGCTTTGTTGTTTCGTACCTCAAGGATTCCATTGCTTACATTCTATCAGTCATAAAGATTAATCTCTGATTCAATTTTCTTCATTGATTCATGCCAAAACTGTGCCGAAGCGTGACGCATACCTGCTCTGCAACAAATTCTCCAAGAGCATTAAGACTAACCTTGAACACAAAAGTCTCGTTGAAGACAGGGTTCAGGGTTTTCTTGTGGACCTTGGTGTCGTACTTCTTCTTCTTCTCAGGTAAGAGCTGGACTTTGACGTACGGATCGGAGGTTCCACCTGAATCCATTGATATGAGGTCCGCAGCTTGGAGGATGCCGACTGTGAGCTGTGTGCAGAGTGTAGGAGACGGGAAACTGAATTTCATCAGGTCAAATAAATCCGACGTTTGTATCTCCATTCGTGACGGGGTCACTGCTGCAGAGTTTGGTTATATAACATCGTATGACATCTTGAGTCTCGCCATCAATCTCCACAAACGTTTTGCACGACTGGAGACGTTTGTCAGTGTCAGAGGTTTTTAGCACTTTTATCTCGTCGGTCTCGCTGTACCGTACCGTAAGATCTGTGAATATGTGCTTGAGCTATACACTATAGCATTTCACCAAATTATTAATGAACTGACCCATTTCAAGTACACCTATTATTGTGGTCCCCGCTGTTAAGATCAAGTCATGAACGGCCAATGTGTCCATATGCTTCACATGGGAAAATAAGCTATTTTGGGGATTTTTACCACTCTCATATCTGTAACATGATGAGCCCATTATATCATGGATTACATAGATGGATTTTATTACCATTATTTATTACCGTACAGAGCTCAGCGAGCTTCCAGTCTTTATGCTAAGCTAACCAGCTAATAGCGTTACCTTGTTTTATTCAGCTTGCAGGCACCAATAGGTTGCTGGCCCAATTGAAGTGGACATGATAAAATGTTGTATTCAGAAATTAGCTAGAATCGTTTTTTTATTTATTTTTTAGACCAATGTATTTTTACATGTTACATGTAAACTATTGGAGGTATCTGATCTGATGTAAATAGGATAGGAAAAATATAAATATCCACTTTAGTACACTGCCACTTTTGTACACTGTACAAAAGGCTTGGCGATATGTGTAATGTGTTCACAAGGGACAACCACGTACCTTCGCATTTTCAAAATCATAATCTATCGAATATTGCAGCTTTCCCAACTTCTCTTCTTCCTTCTCCTCCTCCTCTTTCTCCTCCTCCGTCAGTCCGGTTTCCCCCTCCTCGTCGTCTTCGTCGTCCTGGTGTATCTGTGATGTGAATGTGACAAGAACAAAGCAGGAGGTCAAAGGTCAGGGAGTCGGGGAGTTGGGGATAAGGACAATAAGGCTCCCTACAACAGCCAGCATGCCACAGACACTGGAGCTCCAGGACATTTTGTACGTGGGAGATACATGTTTTGGTTACTGCTTACCTGCACAGCACTTGATGATAGTAACCAACGATTTATTATTTAAAAGGTGAGAAACCCACAAATACATGTTTGTACTTTATTTTTTCCACACTGCCCACTAGGGGTATTTTGGGGATCGATTCCTTCGACATGCTGGTGCAGTAAAGTGACAGCCTGAGTCAACGGAGGCTTCGCATGCCAGTTCCACTAAGAAGAGTTTTCCAAAGAAAACAGATGTTAGCTGTCTTGTTTGTATAAGGGCTTTGATTTCACCAAATCTTTACATAAAAACCCTCAAGGAACCAGCTAACAACAGCGAATGCAATGTATATTAAGATAATAAAAGGGAAATTAGATATAATATTCAGTGCAAGGGGCTGTATAGCTGCATTAAAACTTTTTTGCGATCTTGACTTTAAAATGTCCTTTTGTCTTCTCATTTCTCAGGACATCCAGTTTCTATACATCCTATCTCCTCCTTGGGCATTATAATATAAAGAGGACAGATTTTGCAAGTAATTTGTCTCTTCATGCAGTTTCATCATCACCGTTTCCATGTCTCCCAAACAACCAACCATGCCCTTCATCACATGCAGAGGGTTATAGTGTTAAACAGGTCTTGCATATCATCTCTTAGTCCAATACTTTCCATATTGGTGTGAGTTACAGTTACATTGTCCCAAGAAACAATGCATTGGATGGTTAGATACTCCTCTCTGGGCTTTATGGAGCAGATCATAGCTTTCCATTGTCACATTCTCAAGCCATCATAACAAATACAAAAATAAAATAAAAAAGAGTTGCAAAGGAAGCTACGACTTTCATTCCATGAAACCCCCCTCCGACCGGGGGGGGTCGGAGAGCGTCACTGTGAGCTATCCACCTACCGTAGAGCGGGAGTCCACCACAGTCAAGAAACACGAGGCACAAACAAGACAGACACAAAGCGAGGGGGGAAAAAAGGGGTGGGGGAGCAAAGAGAGGAAGAGATTCAACTCACAAGACACCAAACACACTAAAAGAGGAGACGCAGTCAACACCACCGCCACAATTATGATGAGAAATGACACTCTTCTTCTTGTTTGGCAATGATGCATTTGTGGACTCAAGTGATTGATTGCATTAATTAACTGTCGCTGGAGTTCAGGGCAATCTCTGGTGGTGTTAGTTCTCAAATAAATCACTGGCTTTTCACTTTGCTTTATAAATATCCCAATATTTTTGCAGGTGTCAGGCCTTTATCCATCATTTCGATCAGAAAATATGAAGCTTTTGCTACTTTGCAACTTGCCAAAAGAAACTTTACCCTTCGTGGTGCTCATTATTCTTTGCCACCCGGTGACAAAGTGTGTCATTTTTCACCATCGGGCCACAATGGAGCACGTCACACGTTTGACGACCACAACAACAACAACAACATCAAATAAAAGGAGGGGAAGAGCGCTCTCCTTGTGTCCTCTACAGCTTGGGATACAAAAGCTGCTGGTGAAAGATCAAATTTGGTTAGCTAGAGACATATTTCAAAGAATAAAAATGCAGCAATACATCATGAAGAACAATAAAATAAAACCTCTTGAATGATGAATTAGATCGAGTAAAGAAGTGGCCAAACTGCACCCAGTAGAACCCGTTACCCTGACGGGATGCCCCCCTGACTTTGGCCTACCTCGCCCTGCATGTTCTTCATGTTGAAGCCATCCTTGCCCTTCTTTCCTTTCTTATTCTTCTTCTTCTTGCAGCAGCATTTTTTGATGATGCAGAAGCAGCAGGTGAGGAAGAGCAACGCGGCCACCACGGCGATGGCGATCAGAGCCCAAGGAGGTACTGTTGGTTACAAAGACAAGAGATTGACTTGGGTGTTTGTCACAAAGGAAGTTGTACCTTTTTGTCAAATAAAGCGCACTTGGGTTCCCAGCAGGAAGCAGGGATGCACTGCCGCATTACTCACATGGGATTTTATCTATTTCGTTCAAGAATTTGCTCTTGATCTCCTCAAACATGTCGTTCTTGCTGATCTCTGTGTTGTTGGAGCCGGAGGTGTCCGGCACCGAGGTGGAGACGAAGGCCTGGGTGGGCGCCGCGGTGGCGGCGGTGACACCGGTGGGTTCGGCGGCCGCCACGGCCTCTGCCTTCCGGAACAAGTTGAACTTCATTGTCAAAGACTAGGCGCAGGGTCCCTGAGGCACACAGATCAGACGGAGGGGAGAGATAATATACGGCCCAAAAAAATTCAGTCATGACCTCACTGGGGAGATATGGAACAAAAAGCCAATTAAATTGTAATGAAAGACTTCGTGCCATTCACAATATTCAGAAATAGGATGCCATAGGTTCTTTTGGCTCTCAGAGAGAGAGACCAGACAGATGTGTTTTATAGGGTAGAAGGAAAAACTTAACAAACAAATTAGCAAAGAAAAAACAATAAAACGATTTGTTAATATTTGGGAAATATGCTTAATAAGTCAGATAGAAATTTGTATGCTACGCACATGTAGATGCATTAAGCACGGCACTGGAGAGACGCCGTTTAGTCATAGTCACACCAATTGTTTCTGCAGCACCTTTTCACTACAAACTCTTCATACACCTTCGTGACATCATGTAACACACAGGGATTTTGTTGAGGGACACTTGTCAAAGACAAACAATTTAAAATAAAAAAAGGCCATGTTTTTAATCTACGTTCAGTTATATGTGTAAGTTAAGTATTGTATGTTTCTTAAGTGACGTATAAGTTAAGTATCAAAGTTAACTTTGGTTTCACACAAACAGCCGACTGCCGCATGAGAGTCCTGTGTTTGTTCATCCGTCTCCCTCACAGACTTTGCTGCTGTCTAGAATAAATCCCTTTTATCCTCAACTCGTCACCGTCAACACAGCTACTAGAGGCATCCCTGCACCAAAGGTTTGCGCCTGTCTCAATTTGTTATGCTAAACTACGCTTATCGAAAATCCGGCTCAATTGATTTTCATCCTACTCCCTTCTAGGATAAGAAAGCCGATACGTATGTTTCCCAAAGTGCGAATAATCTATTTCTCTCAAAGCAAAAAATGTGTAAAATGTTGTTAAATCAGAGCTTCTCACGCTCGCCCGTGATATTTCATTTCCCCCATTAACAGGCGAATAACGGGTAACGACCATCCCAGTTGTTTGAGAGATGATGAGATCAGGAGCTGTAATGAAGCCACTCGGCTCTGTGGAAGATGGAGGGATGCAGAAACGGACTGGGAGCACTAATAACAACAATGTCCACTGTCAAAGAAAGATTAAACAGAAACGAGTTACATTAATGAGCGCAGGTCCTCAACGGATGAATCTCATAAGACATAAACGCCATGTTTAAACTAAACTAATCAAGTTTAAACTAATCACGCACATTATGCTGATGATGTGAGAGTTTACTGCCGGTGTGAGCCGGGAGCAGAAACTGAGGTGATTATATTTCCCTCTTTCAACACATGGGTTTGAAAGAATAACAGAGAAAATCCACATATGTCTGCGGAAGACAAAGCAACAGCAGAAACAAATCACAATTTCACATAAATTACACAAATGAGATGATTTGTTAGGTGGTTACCTTTATGATGATGTAAGGTAGCTGGCTGACAGACGTGAGCGAATTAGAGCTCCACGTTTAACTTTTAACTAACAGTAAATAATGAGGCTTCCATTCAAATTGGTTCCAGCACAGTAAAAGAATTACAAGTGGCTCTTTGCGATGACTCACCTTCTCTCTCCTCTGGAAATTCAATCTCAAATCGCAAAACAGCTGACAAAATCAATTTACCTCTCAGCCTCAAGTGGGTATTATATTATGTTATTCTCTATTTTCTCTTTGAGATGTGACACCAGAAAAGCATTACCATTGATGACAACGCTCCGGTCTAAGTGTGTGTCCTTATTTTTTAATTTTTTTTCTATGTTAATCTCAGTCTTTCTTGGCCCAAAATAAAGACACAGATATAATGCATCTTAACAACTGCAGCGTCGATTCAGCTTGGATTAGAATCAGTACATTATAATGTGATGAGGGCAATGAGAAAGAATGATTCTGTGATTATGTATTAGCTTACTTAAAGCAAGAGTAATACATATGAGATTAAGAAGGCTAATTAACAAGGACAAAAAAGAGTTTGGTTTGCCGTGGTTTGAATTCTAGCAGCAAGATCATTTTGACTGATTAATAATAATAATAATACATTCCAGGGAGCTGCTGCTGTGAACGACTGGAACAGAGGTTTGAACGTCTTGCCCCCCTCCATCTTAACATAATACTTAAGAATAATTGGCAACCTGACAATCTTTTACTTGTTTTCCATCTACAGCATCTCTATGCTTGATTGTCTTTTTCTTCAGGGGGAAAATAATAAAAGAAAATTATGCATTTTCAAGCACACCCAGAGAGCATTTCGTGATTCAACCTCTTTTTTTTTTTGCAATCTCAATCTACCATAAAAGCACTGGAAGAAAACGATCCTTCTCAGTATAAAAGAAACCAGCAGGAACAATATTTGGGTGCGGGCCTTTTCACCGATGACCCCACTCCCACAAACACACAAACACATGACTCTTGAAGTCATATCCGGTGAGTCGTTTGTTCCAGATGTGCTCACAGTGGACGTGAGGATACCCGTATCACGGCCTGATCCCCGATTCAGCCGGCTTCTCTGTGGTCGGCAAACACAATCATGATGTAACCTCATCTGCTCTGACTCACGGGCCACAGATCGATCACTATTGCATTCCAACATGTGTATTTCCGCGTGGCCTCTTCATGAGCAAGGATTTGTGGTCAAAATCTGAGCCGTTCAATCCAGCGGAGGTCTGAGCGATCCGGGCCGGCGGATTATTGTTGCTAAGCAATCCCCGTACTGTCTGTCAGCTATTCAACCCGCCTGTAGCCGAGCTGACCAGCCAATCGAATAATCAATTGGCTCAAAGCCAGATTCAAGTCCCCTGGCGGTGCACTGGGCACTGGCGTCATACGAGTGGCGACCGATTTATGGTGATTGGGATGAAAGTTGCAGCTGAAAACGAGGGTCCTTTTGCTTGATATCTGTACACGAAGTCCTCCCCTCCAATCACCTCCAACAAAACATGTGCGCAGTTATTCACGATGTGAAATAACTCAACACAACTTTTGTAAGTTGCACTCAATTTATCAGCGATATGGAGATTGGCTAAATGCAAAATACAGCAATCACCCATCGATCCCCCCCCCCCCTTCTTGTTGTAGACATGTGTTTACCTCCGTCCCATCAGCACTCAATCCTTATCAACCTTTGATTGATGCAGCTCACCACTGGCCAGCATCACTCAGCCACACAAACACACACACACACACTTCCTGATATCACAAGAATAGAGAGAACACCGTTTAGCATCACTCACTTAGTTTGCGAATGCAGCGGAGATCCTCTGGGATAGCTTATCTGCTAATTCTACGTTCCAGATCACAGAGCTGCACCTTCGTTTGAAAAAAAGATCTCCAAAACAAAACTCACCGTTCAGATGCGATATTCCCCTTTGTGAGGCGGCCCATCTAATATCAGTGACTACGGCGGTGGCTACAGTCCCTCAGAGCGCTGGCAACATAGTCTGATCTCTCCCATAAGCAGAGACTGCAGTCTCCTCTCACTTCTCTCCACTGCAGCACTGCACCCCCCCCCCCCCCCCTCCTCCTCTTCCTCCCTCTCCCTTTCCTCCCCCTCCTCCTGCACACCATCTCCCCCCATTTTCCACCCTCCCATCACACACCTCCCTGCTCCGTCTCCGTCTCCCTCAATGCACTTGTGCACGCAGCCTCTTTACCCCCCTCCCCTTCCCCTATTTGTCTCTCTCTCTTTTGCTCTCCCCAACCTCATTTGTGATTCTGCTCACACGGCTGATTGCAGCATGCCAATCTTTGGTCCAGCATTGCCGGGCAGTTGTGAAAGATCTATGTGTTCAAGTTCTAGAATGTGAGTGTTTATTTTGTTTGAATGAAAAGCCACAGTTTGCGTAGGTCAGAGATGGCGACCAAGCAAGTAGCAGGACAGCTGACAAAGGGTGTGCGGACTTTTTTTTTACCACATCAGCCTCAAATAGTATCACAATGAGCTCATACGATTAATTGGATCGCTGCAATTGATCTCAGAAGTGCGATATGAACCCTCTGGTGGGACCGTTCCCTGAGAAACTCATTCAGAGCGAACAACTGGGATCAAGAATGATTAGGTCAACTTGTCTGCCGCTCACTGATCCCTCCAGAGATTCGTCAATGATGAGTGGAAGTGAGCAGATTGCAAAGCAGACTCTCTGGCTACAATACGAAACATGCAGAAAACCATTACATTTTGAAACACGTGATCAAGAAATGAAAATGTGAAAAAAAAATCAGGCCCAAATATAAAAATCTGGGCAGAAAGAATTCCTTTTTCTCCCTGCTCAAACCCCTGTATCGGGGAAATGCCTCTCCACACGCTCAGGCTCAGCCAGCAGCTGTCAGCAGTGGTGTGAGGGGCCCTCCTCTCACTTCAGGTGGGACTGCAATGAGCTCCTTCTGCCTGAGAGGGGCAGGGATCTCACACGAAAGTGCGCAATCGCAGAGCACACTTTTATTTCTGTTTCAAGGGAGTTGTGCCCCTGAGATATTTGTCTCATTGTTTTTTTCCCAAAAGGATTTTGCAGAAGGAGAAGGGACTCGGAGGACTCTTTTGAAATAATGCTTTAGCTTCCTTCAGGACTGTTCAGAATGGCTATGGTGGGGTATGTTCCTATGTTAATGCTTAGATATTCAA